TAACAAATTTGGATATTTCTGGTGCAAGAGAGTGATATTCGTGATTTTAAAATATTTGAATTTGATGTTAAAGATTGTATTTCTAAATTTAATTACTAGAAAGTCCACCGGGTTTCTCGATTGTTCGTCTGGAGAGTTCCGAATTGACAGAAATGCACTCGAATGACGTGGAATTCGGTTCTGTCATACTTCTGACAGCCCCGACAACGCAGGTGGTGTGAGTAGAATCGTGACGTAATTAAATATCACGAATATGTTTCAGCTATCATGGTTGGCTGAAACGTATTCTTATTCAGTAGGCGCATGCGTTGTAGCCCGAAATCATCTTTTTCCCTCGATAGCCACTATTTTTTTGAGAATTCCATTCGAGAATTTGGATTTGGATTGAATTTTCTCTAAATCAAATAGATATGTTTTCTCGTTGTAGACTTTTCGTCCGCGATATTTGCAATTCCTACATTTTGTAGTAAATGTGGCTGTATGTGGTATTACCTTTTCTGGGGCCACAGGATTTAGGGAGCCTCGCGTACGATCCCGATGTCGATCTGGAATCTTCCTTGGTAATTCCAGAAGAGCTTATCCTTGTTACGGCCGTAGAAAGGAGAGTCTGGCTGGGGATAATGTCTAGTCGTTCGGATGGGACAAACACTAAGGTCCATAGTGGACGTCAGCATGCAACGCAGTAAACCTTTACCGTTGGAATTCGATGCAGATGAAGCGAAAGAGCCCCTTTCAGGGTAAACCTTCTCCCATAACACACTGCATGGCGAAATAAAATGGGGTTTAACATCCTGGTATTCTGCCCAGATTGGGCTAATAAAGACGGGCATGCGCCATACAGTGTGTTATAAGGGAAAGTTTGCCCGGACAGCGGCACTACGGCCTACTCTTATATCGAATTCCAACTGTCAAGGGATCTTTTACGTGCACGCCAATGTGTACACGGGACCTCGGTTTTTCGTCCCATCCAAACGACTACACAACTGTCCTTGTCCTGCACCACTGACAAGTGGAAACCAAACCGGGCAATTATATGGAGAATGCATGTCTTTATTAGCCCAGTTGGCGCTAAAAGTTCAGACGTTAAACCCCATTTAATTTTACCAATTATCCGTTCTTTATATACCCCATGAAGCCTGATTAAAACTTTATATACCCCAAGACGCCTGATTAAAACTCTATATACCCCAAGAAGTTTGATTAAAACTTTATATACCCTAAGAAGCTTGATTGAAACTTTATATACCCCAAGAAGCTTGATTGAAACTTTATATACCCCAAGAAGCTTGATCGAAACTTTATATACCCCAAGAAGCTTGATTGAAACTTTGTGTTATTTAGTTATTCACGAAACTGGTTTAAGAGGTATTACCTCCCACGAAGGGTGTTTTAAATAGGACTCTAAACGCACTTTCATTTCATCAGTTTTCCATCTAGATTGCGTTCTATATATACTCCATGAAGGGGTTGGATGGCCGAATGGTTAGCACGTGCGCGCTGTATCATAAAGCCTGTCATTGAGTCAACTGGCGTGGTTTCGAATCCCCGGTTGTACGTGACAAGGATTAGGGTCGCCTGTCCAACCTCGTGGGTTTGCTCCGAGTCCTCCGGTTTCCTCCCACTGCTAAATACCCCTACGCACAAGCGAATTATTGAAATAAAATTAAACCATAAGAAAATCCCGAAATGACCTAGTTTGTGTCGAGTGGACGTTAAAGCCAATCCCCCCCCCCCCTCCCTAGTTCGCGGGTGCACTAGTCCGCCGATATCTATTACTGCCATTTTACGAAGCTCGATTAAAATTCCGGACGTGTTATTAATTTATTTATAAAACTGGTTTCAACGTACTTGTTATAATTATATACCTTGAAAGGGTGGTTTAAATTATCCGAATCTGTTTAATAGTCCACGTGGCTGGTTTTCTAACTAAACGATTTTATGGCATGCAATTAGTAAACTCCACGTTAGATTTAGTCATCTGGTGATCCGACTACCTTTCATCTGACAGCCTGTAAATATACCACTGCATGTTATATAAATAATCACCGTATTTCAATTACTGAAAACTCGACTGTGGTCATTTCAAACATGCAAATATTCAAACAGATTTTAACGTGTGTTTATATTCACTAAGGAATCGAGATCTTGTATTATTATTTGGAGTCATAAAGTCTCAGAATAGATGAAAAAGAGTTAACTGATTATGTCATAAAATCGACAATGCGAATAGTGTGCCGTTAGTTTCAGATCTTTTTTTTTACAAAGGGCTGTATAATTTGTTACGTTTTGCTATATATATTGTTAATTCTGCTGGAACAATGCGAATAATGTGGCGTTACTTCTCAGATCTTTACAAAGGCTGTATAATTTATTACGTTTTACTATATATAGTGTTAGTTCTGCCGGAACAAACTAGTTTGAACAGTTCTCCGTCAGTTTTAAATTGTCTCTGGACAACAAGACTTTATAATTGTTTTGTCTGTGTATTGTTAATTGTGCTGGAACAGAATACATTTTCTTTGTAACCAAGCATACGTCAGTTCTGCTGGAACAAACTAGTTTGAACAGTTCTCCGTCAGTTTTAAATTGTCTCTGGACAACAAGACTTTATAATTGTTTTGTGTGTGTATAGTTAATTGTGCTGGAACAGAATACATTTTCTTTGTAACCAGGCATACGTCAGTTCTGCTGGAACAAACTAGTTTGAACAGTTTTCCGTCAGTTTTAAATCGCCCCTTGACAACAAGACTTTATAATTGTTTTGTCTGTATTGTTAATTGTGCTGGAACAGAATACATTTTCTTCGTAACCCAGCAGACGTGAACAAAACGTGGAATCTGTTGGTGGTATTGCGGCTTCAGTTATAACTTCCTTTTACAAAAACCTATGTTTTTATGATGGGATATTAACAGTGCTGGAACAGTTTCTTTGTAAGCCAAGTAGACTTTAATGTAAAGGAGAATCTGTTGCTTGCATTTAGGCTTCGGTTATAATATCCGTGTATAAGATCCCATATTTAATGGTAGTGTCTATTGTTAAAAGTATTGGACTAGAATGCAGTCTATTCGTAACCAAAGAGACTTGAACAAAATATAAAATGTGTTATTTGTATTTAGACTATTATTTTTTTTACAAGATTCTATATTTTGCTGGTAGTGCTATTGTTAATTATACCGGAACAGGATGCAATGTCTTCGAAGCCAGACATGAACAAAAACTAGTGTGTGTTACATGTATCTAGACTTCTGTTACAACATGTTTTTTTTTTGGTCATGCCAGTAAATCATGATGCTTATCTATGTGCAGTATATGTATATCACATATGTAATTTGGAGTTAGTTATCAACATGTAAATACGGAGGGTCGATTTAGCGTTTCCTTATCTGATTTCCGTAACGTTTACAAATTTCCTCTTAACGTCATCGGGCGACGAACATTTTTTTAGGAAACAGTATATTATTAACCCATGTGTGTATTATTAGTTATCTAATTGGTGGGCTTCACTGATTGCTATTCAGTTTGGAGCGTCGTTATCTGATTCCTCAACGTTATGATTCACATTTTAAGATCATTGCAGCGTCAACGACCAATCATTGTTATAAAACAGTTGCATTAATATGCCGTGTATGCTGTATATGTGTTAGTTAAGTAACTGCAGCGTCAACGAATGGTTATTGTTATAAAACAGTTGAATTCGTATGCCTTGTGTGCGGTGTATGTTTTTGTTAAAGGAATTTTAGTCTTTCAAACGATGTCGCGATCTTCTAGGACAAATATATAATATTTATTATATAAATACACCAAGTTTTAATTCTAGAAAATGTGTGACTCTTGGTAGCAGCAAAGGGTAATACATCTGATACCTGTATTACATATCGGAGGGCGAGGGAGAAATAATGTAAAAATTGAAATGGGTTTCCAGCCGTGTAACAGATTCAGTGAACCTAGAAATGAATTGACATTTGTGATAAATGCCCGTTGAACGCACCTGTTGGGAACTAAATTAAATGAAGCATATCTCTTCATTCTATACCTTTGATATTCAAGTATTCTTGGTGTTTCATTTTTTTACGTCTTTTTGAAATCCGTGAGATAGCGTGATGTGAATTGCGTAGAGATATGGTATTAATAACCAAGCTTACACTTTGCTGTGAAGTGATCTGAGATATGTGGCTATTTCACAGTTTAAAACACCAAACATCAGTTCAAGTATTCTTGTTTCTAGTTGAAGGTCCTGAAATCAGGAACAATTATAATAGTACTAGAAGATGTTATGGACATAGAACGTAGTCATGACCATCATTGGATTATAATAGCGTACATATGAATATAACGTGGTGTCCATGTAGGACATTAGATTGCATTTCTCTGATTTTCACAATAGTAAACTTCAGGTGTTCTTGGAGGATATTATTATTAGATAACTCTCGCTATTATAGAAGGACATTAGATAACTCTCGCTATTATAGAAGGATGTTAGATAACTCTTATCATTATAGAAGGACTTTATATAGATCTCTCGTTATTATAGAAGGACATTATATAACTCTCGTGATTATAGATAGACTTTATATATAGCTCTCGTTATTATGGAAAGACTTTAGATAGAACTCTCGTTATTATGGAAGGACTTTAGATAGAACTTTCGTTATTATGGAAGGACTTTATATATAGCTCTCGTTATTATAGAAAGACTTTAGATAGAACTCTCGTTATTATGGAAGGACTTTATATATAGCTCTCGTTATTATAGAAAGACTTTAGATAGAACTTTCGTTATTATGGAAGGACGTTAGATAGAGCTCTAGTTATTATAGAAAGACTTTAGCGAACTTCCGTTTATAAAGAAGTTTTCTGGAGTTCTGTACCTGACCATGTTCTGTGCTTGATCGCTTCATCTAACTTGAGCATAGAGTTGTTGGAGTGTAATATATATATAGATATGGCGAGCACCTGTTCTATATGCATACTATTATATATTTATATACACATTATTTCAGGTAAGTTCGATGATAAATGTAATGAGAATACAGATTGTTCTAGCGCCTTTACACATGGTGTATGTGTCGAAGGTCAAGGAACCTGTGGATGTGAAACTGGTTATTACAGATTTGATAATTTAACTGGCTGTTCACAACGTAAGTACTAAAGATAAATAACAGTGTTGTAATCTGTATCCTATCAACAAATTGAGAGTACGATTGTATATCATATTTATTTATTTATTTATTTATTTATAAGGTACATGTTGTTGAGATGTTAACGAAATTGAATACACCCGAAATATCGTGTACCGTTTCTAAGAAACGAAATTGTTATTATAATAATAATAATAATTTGTATAGCACCGACAATTCAACTCACCGAGCTGTCGGACGCTTTACATAAATATGACTAATATAAAATTACAACAAATTAATTCATAAAAAAATACATAAACAAAAAACAGAATATTATTTAGTAAAGTCTGACACAAACACCGGAAACCACATTAGCTTGTCTACGAAACGAAGTTGTTAGCGAGCCTGGATACTCTTGGAACATGGTCTACATTCTCTACGTAACGGGATTATTGACTCTTTTATGTACTCGAAAAGGAAACTGAATATTCATCACAGAAACCATTGATTTAGAAACACAGGGGAATATTTGAGTTCGATAACCACATTGCGCAAGCTGTACTTTAAAAATAAATCAATGAAAATGTATCATAAATATCTAATAACAATTTTTCTGATTTTCTTTGAACTTTTGAATGACATTCTTTTTTGTTTTTCTTATTTTCAGATATTTAATTAATTAATTATTTTCAAATCTATTTTAATTTATTTCTTGCATGTTTTGTTTCTGTTTCAGGCTTCAATCATTCATCATTCATAATACATTTCATAATTACAATAATTTACACATTTGTTTTATAATAATTATCTTTTGAATTCTTAATTACTTTTGGGGAGAATATATAACCGTGAGTATTATTCAACGGATGTTAATTTCCGGTTTTGAATTGTGAATCTTTCAGGTAAAATTGGTGATAACACGTGCAAGATAGACAGTGATTGTGAATCGGTTATCAATGATAGTCTCTGTGTTGATGGTATCTGTACTTGTCAACTGGGACTACATCCGTCAGATGATAAAACAAAGTGTAATAAACGTGAGTATTTTCATAAAAGATGTCAACTGGTTGTTAATGTGACGTAATAGCATTTATCTTTTCCGAAAGTTTTTTCTGAAAATATTTGGCCGTTTGGAAATGTTCGTCCAGGTGTGCATTGATACACCTGATAATGTCGACAATTTTATACCTTTTGAAAGTAAAACGCAGTAGGCTAATAACGTGCAAAATGCGGTTACTAGCTGGAAAACAATAAAAACGAAAGAAAAACGGGTTTGTTTGCTAGATACGCCCATATTTAAATGCGATATTATATTGCCCCCCCCCCCACATCCGGCACAAACCGGTTATGTCCGTTTTCATTAGTCCTTTTGATACTATTAAAGTCAGAGAACATTAAGTTGTCCTAAACGTTGGCTCAGTGACTAGCTCGCTAACCTGTGTTTGATTCCTTTTCATCAGCATTTTCCAGCGCGGTTCCTGCTTGTCAGTGGTACAGAACGGACGGTCTTTCAATGGAAAATGTATAGTTGTTCGGAAGGGATAAAATACCGAGGTTCTTTATACACATGTGCATTTACGTAAAATAACTCCTGGCTGTTGGAATTCGATAGTACCGCTGCCTAGGCAAAATATCCCTCATAACACACTGTATGGCGGATACCCGTCGTCATTAACTCAGTCGGGCGGAATAGAGCAGAAGGGCCTTAAATCCTATTTGGTTTCATGTCATTGTTTTGTCCATTAAGATAGCATATATTTCTGATTGACAGGTAAAATTGGTGACAACACCTGTAAAGTGAACGTAGATTGTTCAGAAGCTGTTGCCAATAGTAACTGTACTAATGGTGTCTGTTATTGTGATTCTGGTTTTTATCCATCACAGAATATGTCGCATTGTTTTCAATGTAAGTACTTATAAAACACAATAAATTCAAATTTATATTTTACATTTTCAGACCGTTTTCTCTGAGAAGAGAGGAAAGTTATCCTGTATAGGATTCAAAACTCAAAACAAATTTGTAGTCTTAAAATATTAAGATTTGTAACGTTCCATACTAGAGTTCAAATGGTTATTCAAGTCGTAATTGAAAATCGTTATTCAAGTCGTAATTGAAAATCGTTATTCAAAATATTAAGATCATTAATCAAATTATTATTTCAATCATTATTAAAATCGTTTTTCAGATTTTTATTCCATTTGATATTTCAATCGTTATGAGAATCCTTTTTTAAATCGCTATTCATCTTGTTATTTAGATCTTTATTAAAATCGTTCTTAAAATCGTAACTAAAAATCGTCATTAAAATTCCTATTAAAATCATTCTTCAAATTGTTAATAAAATTGTCTTTCAAATCGTTATTCAAATGATCATTCTCAAAATATTTAGATTGATAACGTTCCATACTAGAATTTTGAACTTGTTATTATTTCAATCGTTATTCAAATCGTTATCCAAATCTTTATTCGAATTATCATTCAAATCATTATTCAAATTTTTATTTAAATCTGTATTCAAATTGTCATTTAAATCTGTATTCAAATTGTTATTTAAATCTGTATTCAAATTGTTATTTAAATCTGTATTCAAATTTTTATTCGAAACTTTATTCAAATTGTTATCCGTTTATTTAGATTGTTATTCAAATCAATATTTAATAGATCAATTTATCTGCAGCCTATATTTCTAGAACAACAGTTACTAGTTTTATTTTAATTGGACAATTCACATAGAACCAAACCTTTCATTGGCCAATAGCTAAGATTGTAACTGTCAGTCAAAAAAATCTTGAAAACGACGAGAGTCATTTAAGAATCTAAGCTCCGATAAACAATACAGGAATTCTTTTTATTGTAATTAAATGTGTTCAATCATTAATGGCCATTTAAACAGTATAACAAAGACTGAACCCTCGGGAATATTCGTCAATAAGCCCCCAGTATTTTTGTTTTAAATTACAAATACGAATTCACATTAGTTTTTTAAAAATGATATATTCCACAACTGTTCAATCCACAAGGGAATGCTCTAGGCGCCAGGACATGTTTTTCCTTTCGATTGTTAATGACAGTGATTAAAGAACCAGAGAAAGAGAGATATATATATAAATGGGGTTTAACGTCCACTCGACACAAACTAGGTCATTTCGGGAATAACACGTGGTTCAATTTTATTTCAATTTTGGACAAGCGATCCAACTCCTTGTCACGTACAACCGGGGATTTGAAACGACGCCAGTTGACTTAATGACAGAACTTATGATACAGCACGCACGTGATAACCATTCGGCCATACAACCCCCTGACTAAATAACCAAGTTTTCACTTTGGATTTGAACACTGACACTTAATCATATTATCGGATATTTTCTGAAAATGTATTCCACATAATTGATGCATTGTATTTTGATATTGATGCCATCCAGATTTTCCGGCGTGGTTTCCCGTTATTAGTGATGCAGGACGGGGGGGGGGGGGGGGGGTTAAAAAGGACAGCTGTCTAGTCGTTCGGATGGAACGAGTAACCGAGGTCCCGTGTACAAATTGGCGTGCACGTAAAAGATTCCTTGACAGTTGGAATTCGATATAAGAGTAGGCCGTAGTGCCGTTGACCGGACAACATTTCCCTCATAGCACACTGTATGGCGTATGCCCGTCTTCTTTAGCCCGGTTCGGAGTAGAACGTTAAACCCCATTTCATTTAATATTGATGTACAATTTAATTTGGTAAAACATTCTGTTTCAGATAAATTAGCTGAAGGAACATGCTACTTAGATACAGACTGTTCAGATGCTATACCAGACAGTTTCTGTTATAATGATACGTGCGGCTGTCTATCCGGTTATATAGGTCTTCATGGTACCACTTGTCGTTTACGTTCAGTCGGCGATGCTTGTACCATTAAGACGGACTGTAGCGACGCTGTAGCTAACAGTACTTGCACTCCTTACGGTTGTGATTGTGAAGCCGGATTCTATTTTACCGATGCAGAAGAAGCCTGTGTTCTCAGAAAGATAGACGATTTCTGCATTTATGAAATAGATTGTGTTATGGCGGTTGATAACAGCACATGCTCGTCTGGTAAATGTATTTGCGTGTCAGGGTTCCGAAGCGCAGACGGTGGTCACAGTTGCGTACAACGGACTATAAACGATGCTTGCAGCGAACACGCGGACTGTTCTGACTCCATTGCGAATTCCGTTTGTACTGGAAATCTTTGTGTTTGTAAATCTGGGTTTATAGAAAATGCACATGGTACATCTTGTATCAAGCGTCGGTTGGGTCACAAGTGCGAAGTCCATGCCGATTGTTACGACGCCATTGACGAGAGTTACTGCTTTAATTCTGCTTGTCGATGCAATTCGGGTTTGTACAACAGCCCGAATAATGCCTCCTGTATCCGACGCGTTATCGGCGACAACAACTGCGAAAAAGACCGAGATTGTAGTGACGCAGTGTTTGATAGCCACTGTTTGAATGGCGTCTGCTTGTGTTTACCGGGCTTCCGAGTAATAAACAATAACACCGAATGCATCAAGAGACAGATCGGTGACCCGTGTTCATCGACAACCGATTGTTCAAGCGCGATCTCAAAGAGCACTTGTTCTAGTGGAACATGTTCCTGCATCACTGGACACTTCATACGCGACAGTTCGAAGATATACAATTGTACGAGACGGATGTTGGACGATGTTTGCGCAAACAATCTGGATTGTGTATCATCAATCGAACTTAGTTTTTGTGACAAGAATAAATGTAATTGTGAAAGGGGTTTCTATCACTCTGCAGACAAACTGGAATGCATGAAACGCAGGATTTCGGACTTGTGTCTTACTGATGCTGACTGTTCCGCGGCCGTGGAAAACAGCCAGTGTTCAAACGGGCGATGCTATTGTAATCGTGGGTATCTAACGTCCTCGGATTTCCGAACATGTTCGCGAGTACGAGTCAATGACTATTGTTCGGTTACCACAGACTGTACTGCATCCATTATCAACAGTGTTTGCACCAATGACACATGCCTTTGTCAGAAGGGATACAAAGCAACATCTGACGGCAGTGTGTGTATCAAACGTAAAATCGGGGACCGGACGTGTTTGGACGATCTTGATTGCAGTGCTGCAGTGGCAAACAGTTCATGTTCCTCGGGCGTCTGTAAATGTGTGATAGGGTTTCTGGCAAGTACCTCCCTGGATTCCTGTTCACGACGGAACATAACGGACAAATGTTTTGACGATTTGGACTGTGCGGCAGCTATTCCGGACAGCGTTTGTGACCGTGATAGATGCGCGTGTATCACTGGTTTCAAGAATACTAGAGACAACACCAAGTGCTCTCCCCGAATGATCGGTGATTCCTGCCTTTTTCACGCCCACTGTCAAGCAGTGATAGATGATAGTATTTGTAAGAACGCCGTCACCTGTCAGTGTAAATCTGGTTTTGTAGCTTCTAGAGACAACTCCAAGTGTCTACCCAGAGTTATTGGAGACGAGTGTGACAGGACGAGTGATTGTTGGGATTCTGTAACGAACAGTACATGCACGAACAACACCTGTTACTGTCTTCCGGGATTTCAAGTTAATGCCGACAAAACCACGTGTACTAAACGTAAGTTAAAAAAGAGGCCCTCAAAATATTTTTCTCATTGCCGTGTAATTAGGAAACAAATTGCTCGTAGGATTTAGGTTGTATTTTGTAACATTAAAGTCATGTAACATGTGGTGGAATGAACATTTCCCTCATGGCGCCCGTCTTCATGGCCCTTTTGGTTAAATAAAAGTAGGACGTTCAATCCCATTTCAATTTCATTCCCGTGCATTAAGGCTGAAGACAAATTTAAGAATATTGGGTTCCTCGGTATTCCAACTGGAACTGGCCTCTAGAATACCACCTACCCCCACCCCGTTACGAATCTAGGCGTGGGACCAGTGGATACTTTGGGATTTTGCGTTGGCGACCATCACGTGTCATTGGTGGTGTTATACTTTTGCATGGATGGCAAACATTGTTAGCGCTTCCAATGGATGAAGAAAAAGACCAACACTCTCAGGTGGGTGAACGAACGTGCTTTATGGGCGCCCCATAAAGCCGAGTGACATTGGTAGTTGTGCTGTCCCCCCACCCCCTTGTTCCCTCGCCCCCCCCCCACGCTAGCTCCGGGCCTATTAACGTAACCCACTCTTTTACAATTGACTATTTTCCAGGTATAATTGGTAGTTCCTGTGGTATGGACAACGACTGCGCGGCCGCCATTATCAACAGTAGATGTGGTAACGGCGCTTGTATTTGTGGCTCAGGTTTTGCTGCCAGGGAAAACAATACGGCTTGTATACAGCGTACCATTGGTGACCCGTGTGACGTCATACCAGATTGTGCCAATGCTATAATCAACAGCTTATGTTCCAATAGCACGTGCAGTTGCCCTCTTGGGTTCCATTTTAATCCCCAAGACCCGGTACGCTCCTGTAACCTTCGTCGTATCTTTGATCGGACTTGTATTACCAATGAGGATTGCAGCGCATCTGTTAACGCCAGTACATGTGTCAGCGGACAGTGTTTATGTGATCCCGGTTACCATCCAAACGGAGACCGAGATACTTGCACCATGAGGCGGGTCGGAGACGCAACATGCCTAAGAGATAGCGACTGCAGTCACGCTATAGACAACAGCCACTGCGACAACGGTACATGTTTATGTTTGCCTGGTTACCATCCCTATAACAACAATACTATTTGTTTGAAGAGGAAGATTCACGATAGAACTTGTGAGTTTGACCACCATTGTACCGCTGCTGTGGATAAAAGTTATTGTGGAACAGATGAAGAGAGTAAGCTATGTTTATGTGTGTCCGGGTTCATGGCCGTAAACAGAAACACTACCTGTCAAAAACGTAATAATCTTCTTTTGTTTTAAGAGGGAGAGAGAGAGAGAGAGAGAGAGAGAGAGAGAGAGAGAGATGGGGTTTAACGTCCACTCGACACAAGCTAGGTCATTTATTACATGGTTCAATTTTATTTCAATAATTTGCTTGCGCGTAGGGGTCTTTAGCAGTGGGAGGAAACCGGAGAACCCGGAGAAAACGCGCGGGGTTGGACAGGTGACCCTACTCCTTGTCACGTACAACCGGGGCATCGAAACAACGCCAGTTGCGTCAATGACAGACCTTATGATCCTACGCGCACACGCGCTAACCATTCGACCAGCCAACCCCCCATTTAAATAAAGAGCTGACCCTTCTTGCCTTAATAGTTCAAAACTTCATACTGAAAATTGAATATATGAAAAATTCCATTCAAATTATTATATTCTGGGTGAATTTATGACTGTTTGAAGGTAAAGTGTAGATCGTTCATTATCGTAGCAACGGTACATGACGATCGAGACTTACCTCTTACATAATGAATCTTCCAATATCACCCTTGTCATTCAGTGGGTTATTAATCTAAGTTATTGTAGCAAAGCTACATGACAATCGAGACTTGGGCAGATTTAGCTCTAACATAATGCATCTTCGACTATCACCCGTGTCATTCAGTGGGGTATTAATCTATGTTATCGTAGCAAAAACACATGACAATCGAGACTTAAGCAAATTTAGCTCTTACATAATGCATCTTCGACTATCACCCGTGTCATTCAGTGGGGTATTGATCTATGTTATTGTGTATTTGGCTCAGGTAAATTAGGGCGATGTAGATAGTGTAGAACGTTCATTATCGTAGCAATTAGGTACATGACAACCGAGACTTACATAATGCATCTTCGACTACCACCCTTGTCATTCAGTGTGGTATTAACTACAGTTATTGTGTATTTGATTTAGGTAAATTAGGTGATGTTTGCAGTAAACACCTGGATTGTGAAGATGGTATTAATCATTGTTATTGTGTATTTGATTTAGGTAAATTAGTCGATGTTGCAGTAAACACCTCGATTGTGAAGATGGTATTAATCATTGTTATTGTGTATTTGACTTAGGTAAATTAGGCGATGTTTGCAGTAAACACCTGGATTGTGAAGATGCTGTCATTAATAGTGTTTGTCATAACAACATGTGCAGATGCAACTCGGGATTTGATGCCTTCCATGACAATACAGAATGTGTCAAACGTAAGTATATCAGGTTCAGAACTGGGTTTTATGTTATTTGTCCGCCATTTTGAAATTGAAACCTAAAATATAAACCGTTTCTAAAATTAAAAATAAATCAATTTGAGTATCAAACAGGGAATTACACCCGAAACCAAATTCAACTTATTAATTTGAACACTAAAGCAAGATATCTAACATATTAAACCCAACCATGTTATTATCCGCCATCTTGAATTGATAATCGATTTTCTCCAAGACACACATCCCCCTTCCAGTAAACTTTCGGTGCATTGGACAGGGTTGAATCCATCTTTCTTCAGATTTATTCCAGGTAATACCGGGCTTCCGTAGTTTATCTAGTCTAAAGACTCACATCTCACGTTTGTACCATGTCTTACAATTACTATGTTTCTAGAAAATTAACTCACACCTGCCTCCCTCCAGAGCGATTTTAATTTTATAATATTTCTGCAGAAGCCATTAAGACTTTACAATAATTGATATGCCAAATGGTCTGTCTATGTGGTTCTAGCTTCAGTTACGTAATAATCATTGAAATTTTTAACCAATGACAACAGACGTCTGCTCAAACATAAAACTGAGGATCCGCAGCCACTGTGCATTCATAACGAAACTGATATACGTCTGGGATGAGTCATTTGTCTAAAATTCGGTTAATTTGGTAAAAAACGAACAAATATATCATGTTGAATAATATATCAGCCTTTTTCTCAACTAACAAAAAAAAAACTACGCAAGAAATTCAACTAACTTAATTTACAAACCGCCTTGTTTTTTAAATGTAAAAAAAAGATGGCTGGCTGACTAGATTTATGGCCCCGTTTTCTTTACAGATTTAAAAATATTTGTAATATATAACATTTGGCAGATATTATCTTAATTAAAACAAGACCTCGTGTATAAATAACGTATTAGTTGTTAAAGGTGTAAAACGTAATGCTTACATTACTATGCCGTTCAGACGGCTATATGAAGGCTTCTGTATGAGACCTGTGAGGCAGGAGCGTATCGCGTGCGTAAGACCAGTACGACTATTCTGACAGCTACGGTAATTGATTATAGTTGATTACACACGCGTATATCATACACGAAAGCGCGTAATCAAATGCGCATGCCTCAAAATCAACTGAAATCGACACCAATCTGTTTTACAGACCTAATGCGACATCCGTCTTTTATCTCTGTCCAAGATGACTGACCTTGAAAAGGTCAGACCGGTGTAGTTCTAAGGGTGACGTCACATCACAATGTTTACCAACAAAGCAAGATGGCATCGATAACGCCAAAAAAGATTACTTCTGTGGCTTGTTTTTGTTGTTTTAAAACAAACACGAGCAGGTCAATCAGATTAGACGGTAAAAAATGTACTTCTGAAAGAATTCAGAGTAAACAAACAGAAAAAAAAGTCAAATTGAGGTCACACGTGCGTTGTTTACATCGAACGTAGTAATATGAACTGGTACGGGCAAAATTATATCGTTTTACCCATTTTACGCCTCCGCGTACTATTTTCTGTACCTATTTACGCTAAATATGGAATATTTTTTATCAAGATATACTTCAAACACCTTTATTTATTTTTCTAATACTAAAAAAAAATGTTTCAGAATTTAATTTGTCGAAAGAAAAAAGTTAATATTTTGTAGTCATTAAGTCGCATCGATGTCATCCTTATCAGTGATTGTAGCGGCCAAGCGAATATTCACTGCGGATCAGTGTGAATCGACACTTGTAAGCCGACGTGTTCAGGCGGCCAAGATAAGTCAGCTTAAGGAAGAAAATTACCCGTAGTTTGGTGGCAAGCTGGGCCTTGTTTACTGGTTTATTTATATCACCTTTCAGTTAGCAAGCTTAGCGATCGACGAATCATTTAAACCAGTATCACTTTAAGCGATGGATACATCAGAGTCTCGTGGCCCTAAGTATAGGCATGCAGTATAATTAAATAGCCGAATTAAATTTCTATTAACGCCTCTATTGCCATAAAGCACATATAATATATCGCACGACAAGTGTGCTGCTGTACACGAATCTATATTTTTACTGTGATAATAACCTACAGAAATATTGCTAACAGGATGCTCTGGTTGATCGAGACTTTCGTCAGTCAATCAATATACTACTAGCTTCCTAGTCCACGCAATAAAACACTATTTTCAAGAAATGTCTTAACTATTTCGTTTTCTTACGAAATACAATAACGCAATTGGGAGAAACCCCTTATAATAGGTAAATGACTTCATTATACAGTGTTTTTAAGAGAAAGGACATTCCATTAATACATGATGTCATCATAAATTAATTTATTGCAACATGTTAAATGAACATCGTTGACATTTTTTTTTCAAGTTATCTTAAACAGAGTTGCGCAATATAGGGTTTTTACATTCAATAATCTGCGCAATATAGGGATTTCACATTCAATAATCTAGGCAATATAGGGATTCCACATTCCAATAATTTAGGCAATATAGGGATTTCACATTCAATAATCTAGGAAATATAGGGGTTCAGATTCAATAATTTAGGCAATATAGGGATTTCACATTCAATAATCTAGGCAATACAGGGTTTACACATTCAATAATCTAGGCAATACAGGGGGTTCACATTCAATAATCTAGGCGATACAGGGGTTTCTCATTCAATAATCTAGGCAATACAGGGGTTCAAATTCAATAATTTAGGCAATATAGGGATTTCACATTCAATAATCTAGGCAATACAGGGTTTACACATTCAATAATCTAGGCAATACAGGGGGTTCACATTCAATAATCTAGGCGATACAGGGGTTTCTCATTCAATAATCTAGGCAATACAGGGGTTCAAATTCAATAATTTAGGCAATACAGGGATTTCACATTCAATAATCTAGGCAATACAGGGGTTCAAATTCAATAATTTAGGCAATATAGGGGGTTCAAATTCAATAATTTAGGCAATACAGGGTTTTCACATTCAATAATCTAGGCAATACAGGGGCTTCTCATTCAATAATCTTGGCGATATAGGGTTTTCACATCCAATAATCTAGGCAATACAGGGTTTTCACAGTCAATAATCTAGTTTGGGTATTTGTAGCGTCGTTGTAAAGGTGAAATCAAACATGTTGTGTCAAAAGATTTTATTCGGCAAAATGCAAGTTATGTCCCTTTGCACTACCAGCCATTGTCAGATCGTTTACATATATCTCGATTATCAAAGCTCATTCGAGTATTAAAAACCCACCATAAGAACGTGCTAGTAAAATACAGTAGAATTAAAAGATGTTGCTGTTAAATCAATATCAGCCAGTGAAAGATTTTAATGACCGTAAGATGGCCGACCACAAACTGGGTTAGAATTGATCGACTTAATTACTTGTGGGACAAGGTTTTGTTATAAAAGTACTTGTGAGGATTAGTGGTCTTAACGTGTATTCTTATCTGTAATAACTTATTAGCATAACGGATATGATTTCATTACAATAAGCGCCTTATCTTGAACTGATTCTAGCCGCCATCTTGTGCAAGCCGACGATTCCCTTATAATAAAATCGTTATTTTGTTTAATACATTCTTCAATCCTTGTTATATTTCAATGTTCATGCTTGAAATATATAAATCATTCATATTCATTTTCATCAATCGCCTCATCCGACATCTTCTTTTGTCATTATCCCGGAGAACCAGACAACAGATGCTGATGGAACACGTCATCGAATGGGTTAGGGATGGACCCAATAACTGTCAAACGATAAGAATATCAAATAACCTTTGACCTTGGTAGATCCATGATTTAAATATGTATTACATAAGAATTTGATAAAAATCTGAATTTTCGTGATATAATAGTTCACAAATAGATCCTGCAAAAATGAATATATTGAAATTTTCTCTATATCCATTGAAATCGCGGCCATCCGATGATCTAGCGAGTGAATTATAGGCTTGTCATGTACATAAATGTCTAATTAATAATTTATGTAAAATGTGACACCAAAGTAAAGATTTAGCTCTTACATAATGCATCTTTAATTTTAAGTTCATTTGATCCCTGACCCATTCGATTATCCAGCTAATTATTCTACAGATGAAGAACTAAATTACCGAAGATTCCCGGATGACACAGAATTAGAGCTGGCTGTTTTTTTAGCACTACTAACCTGCATGCCTTTATTCTAACTGAACGTTGATTTCAGGTCCACAGTTTCTAGGTGAGAGATGTTACTTCACACAACAATGTCAACACATCAACGCTGACACCTTCTGCGGTCCCGACTACACGTGTGATTGTCCCAAAGAAAGATTTGAGTCACGTGACAAAACCACGTGTCATAAGTGTAAGTAAAACAATTTTTTATTGGACAATAATCGTCTCGCAGTAGACGTTGGGTTCAAAATTGGACCTACTATACGTAAATGTGTGCTTAGGAACTGGACATACTAGACTATGGCTCGTTCTGAGGTCCGCGGAAATTGCCGTGGGATAGAATTACAGCATTGGCCTAGAATAGCTTACGGAATTTACATGCCCGGTTCCAAGCTGTAATGCCTGCAGGTCTGAAATGGTAAATGTGTCTAAAAGAGGTGATTGACGTTGATCACGTGTCTAAATCGGTGGAGTACACAAAAGGCGTTTACTACTGTGTCCTAGTATTGCAATGAAATAAAATGAAGTTTAACGTCCTACTGTCCTACTTCGACTGGGCTAATGATATACAATAATATATGAGGGGAATTATATCGAATTCTAAATGCCAAGGGTTGTTTACGGTTTTGTTATATACTCGAATGGAGTTTAATGTCTATCATCTACCCTTATATTGGGCCATGCTTTGGCTGTTGCTATCACCTACCCTTATATTGGTTCATGCTTTGGCTATTGGTATCATCAACCCTTATATTGGATCATGCTTTAGCTATTGTTATCATCAACCCTTAAATTGGGTCATGCTTTGGCTATTGCTATCATCAACCCTTATATTGTGTCATGCTTTGGCTATTGCTATCATCTACCCTTATATTGGGTCAAGCTTTGCCTATTGCTACCATCTACCCTTATATTGGTTCATGCTTTGGCTATTGCTATCACCTACCTTTATACTGGGTCATGCTCTGGCTATTGCTATCATCTACCCTTATATTGGGTCAAGCTTTGCCTATTGCTACCATCTACCCTTATATTGGTTCATGCTTTAGCTATTGCTATCACCTACCTTTATACTGGGTCATGCTTTGGCTATTGCTATCATCTACCTTTATATTGGGGGTCATGCTTTGGCTATTGCTATCATCTACCCTTATATTCGGCCATGCTGTGACTATTGCTATCATCTACCCTTATATTGGGTCATGTAATTGCTATTATCTTCTCATATTTACCAACGATTGTCCATCTTATATTTGCAGTACCAGATAAACTGGATGAGTTATGTCATGATCCTAAACATTGTATAAAAATAGCCAACAGTACATGTGATGATGATTCCTGTGTTTGTCCACCAGGATTCTATAACGATAAACAAGATACCATTTGTCAACAGTGTAAGTTAAGTTTTATTAAACTATTAAGCATTAGCAACAAATTCCCAATATTAATTTGATGACATGCTATGTGGTAGCTTTTTTATTTCATATCAGATCATAACTGTCTTTGGACTTTTTTACCACTTATTCGGCCCTAACGCTGCACATCTTGGTGTCCTTTTTGAGGGCAACGTTCTTCTTAAAAAGCCTAATACTAAACCAATTCATGTAAAGTACAATAATAATATTCGAAGCTTAGTATACATGTTCATTGGACAAATGACGTCATGGTGGTAATGACGTTATGTCCAGTTCCTGCTTTGTATAGTAATGTCTAGTCTCGATCACCCCTGAACCTGCTAGTCTTCAACGTACGGAGGGTCTGGGACTGTTGTCAATATTTGACGAAAAGTCCATTGCTCATGCGTAACCGGGAGTTTAGTTTTTATCCAGTATCTTCTGGCCAAAGTCAATTAAGAGTTGCACCCTTCTCGCAATAAATCCCATAATTCTTGCATTAATATAAACAAACATGAATCATGAGAACGAATTAGGATTAATTTTTAAAAAAAAACAACTTAGATATGGCCCATTAAGAGAGGAATTTTATTTTACAACAACAAAAAAAATAAGAGTGTCATGCAATCAAATGGATTTTTTAAAATGATATTCTTGAATTAATTTCATGGGCGTCAACATCTTGTTACCTCCCTTAAACTCTGTTTATGATAATGTAAAAGACCGGATAATCTAGCCAATGGTCTATTATTCTCAAATCTTGACAAACATCCAGACTAATATTCGTAGAGACCTTGTAATGTCCTACTTATCTTTTACAGTGCACCCAATCTTGTAATCTTGTAACAAGCTAACTTAATTGGGGACATGATTTAATACCTGAGCAGTCAACAGGAATAAAAACTAGACATTTTTTACTATCACTATCCATGCCATATTAACTATATTATTTATGCTCAAATAAGAAATGTAGACTTTTATATCTAAAACGTCATATGAAATAAAATGAAAATGTTTCAATAGGAGCCGTGGTGATAAGTGGCATGGTGCGACGATCGCAGCAAGCTAGGGTGGGGTGGGGAGGAAAAATTTGTGACGGCAATCAAGTGGGGGTTAGTTAAAGGAGGCAAGTCTAAATATCATCCAAAGTCATCGACATTGAAGACACGACCTATTGGTCAATTTAAATCAACATTGATGTTGTTATCTTAGCGCGAAAAGATGGGCTTCTGATATCCAATATTTAAGACAAAATGGAAATTTTGTGTTCTGTTAAAATTCCTTGCAATTCAATCCCTAGCTAGGGAGCCGAATCCCCGAAAAACTGTAGCAGTTTTAAGATAAAAAAAAGGAGAGAGAGAGAAATGGAGTTTAACGTCCACTCGACACAAAGTACGTCATTTCGGGACCAACACATGATTCAATTTTATTTCAATAATTCGCTTGCGCGTAGGGGCTTTAGCAGTGAGAGAAAACCCACGTACAACTGGGGAATCGACACCCGGCCAGTTGACTCAATGGCCGACCTTATGATACAGCGCGTATGTGCTAACCACTTGGCCATCCAACCACTCCCCCCCCCCCTAAAAAAAATAAATAAAAAAAATTGTAAGGCTAAAATATTATTTTGTTGAAGATTATGTCTCTTGAATACATTATTAAACGAGACAAATAAACTACGGCATGATTTTTTTTCTGATGTAACTATCAATGAATATTTCCAGTTGCTGTTTTGGTAGAAGATAGATGTCTTATTAACGAACATTGTAGAAACATCAACAACACAGAGTGCTCGGATAACCAGACGTGTTCCTGTCAATATGGTTTTATAGCATCTACAAACTTAACAACATGTCTTCCACGTAAGTCTTGAACAACAAGTCCCTGGTCGTTTTCCTGTTATTAAGGAAACAGACCAGTAATTATCTGCATATTGACTACAATGTTAAATCCATGCCATGCCTTAAACGATTTTTAAAACTCCAATCTGATTAAAACACAGATCCTATTTCGTTTTGTTTTCTATAGTTCAAAATTTCCTTTTACTTGTCTTTACTACACTAGCATCAGGAAGAGTTACGTTCTGGTTTATGTAAGGGATTAGCCAATGAACCAGTCTTTTACAGTCCCATATAACAACTTTTGGTCTTCGAAGGAATTATTAGTGAGCAGAAATTCGGCCGTATATCTGTTATCACTCGCCACTTCAGTAAGTTATATAGAGGGATAACTCGTGTTTTCCTTTGGCGTTCGTCACTTCCGATTCGTGACACCTGTATTATTCATCTATCGTAGCAATGATCTCTGTGTTAAAATTATATTTTGAACGTGTTTAACCAGTTCTATCACATATGTGAAAATGACTGAGACCAATATTGTCCTTTAACTTTAATGGAATTGTGTGGTATATATACGAATTCGCTATTATGATTGTATTTATTTCAGGTGCGACGTTACCACCTTATATATTACCACATGAAGGTGTTCCTGTACCATGTGATACCAGTAAATCTAATGTATGTGGTATTAAACAACATTGTGTACCACTAGAGGGCGACACGGGTACCGTGGGTTATTGTAAATGTATTCCAGGATATGCTGCTCGACATTTAGACCATCTATGTTTAGGTTCGTATTTAAAATATATCACAAAGGTGTATTTAGAATTCATTTGTGAATTAGCGGGAGTGTTCGGCTAGAATGTTTCGGTTTCTCTTTTCAGGGAGGTGATAGCCAATGACTGTATGTTCCGGTTACCTCCCTTGATCACCCAATTCTATCAGAAATCAATCCATTTCTATAAAGTAATTGGCTAATATTACCCAAAATTGAGATTATTTAGTGGTTAGCCGCATAGGCGTACGGGGAAATTTTTGACTTGGGGGGGGGGGGGCAGTGGTGGTTGGTGCCCAAAAAATGTAGTTAGGTTCTTAGTATGTTACATAATAATAATAATGATAATAATAACTTTATTTTCTTATAAAACTACACAACTAAAATCAGCTGTTTATGTAACTGTAACTCGTGGCTTACTGTACTCCAAACAAGAGAGGGCTTGAATCTTAAGATTTCTATTTAATTTCTATTTATTTTATACAACTTTTACAAAGTACAAATTTTACAAATTTTCCCAGCATTTGGTGGCCAAAATGGGGGGGGGGGCTATGGGCCGTTTCATTTATCACTGATACTATAAATAGATATGTCAACTATTTGTACTTATTATAGGAATTAACTCATTGATATTAAAGTACAAGCGGGGAATCAAAACCACGCCACTTGAATCAATGACAGGCCGTCTGAGCCAATGCGCACGCCCCTGAAATTCTGTAGACCAGCTCATTGTTGTCATGGGCGATGGCTCTCTACATATTCATTATAACATCATATATTTCAGATGTTCAAACCTACAGACTGGATATTAATTTTACGACAAAAGGAGGTCAATTCGATTACCTCCCTTTAATATACGATGTTTTGTTCTCGGACGTACAGTCCCCACAATATAACGATATGAATGATAGAATAACACTTTCAGGGGTAAGTCTTTTTTTTAAATATCTGAATATTACATTGTTATATATTTGTTTCTTCTTGGTGTCTAATTGTTCGGATGGAACAAAAAAGCTGAGGTCAAGTGTATATCATTGTTAACACGTTAAAGATTCCTCGGCAATTGCAATTCGAAGAGGACTAGGCGTATGCGTGGCGTATGCATGACCATATCCGTCTTTATTAGTCCATTTGGAGCGTAAAAGTAGGACGTTAAACCCTATTTCGTTTTATTTTGATTTGCAAAGTTTGATGGAGGCTTTATAGTCCCAACCAGGGAGCCACGGTGGCTAGTCTGGAGGTCATAATTGGTTGCCGAGAAAGTTCATCAGGATTTTCCGGCGTGGGTTTACCTTGTCGGGGATAACACTGTCTTATCTTTCGGATTGGACGGAAAACCGAGATTACGTGTACACATTGGCGGGTAAAATTCCCTCTAGCTCACTGTATGTTGTAATGCCCGTCTTCTTTAGCCGAGTCGGAGCCGAACATTTATAGTCCCTACCAAATTACTTACAGCGGCTCATCTTTGATTTTAGATAAACATTTTTATTTATAGGGTGTTTTTTTATTTTTTTTTTTATTTTCAGATAAACAAAATAATGGCGAAAACCAATCACTCACATAGATTTGTCAACAGCGAACTTTTAAATATGTCAGATTTAAATCCTGGTATTCATGTATCCGCCATCTTTCATATTGAAGAGAATTACCACAATCCCATCGAACCGGAAGTATTCTACAACTACGTCATATCATCTTTAATATCGTATGTTTGTTTTTTGCAAAATTCATTCATTACGCGTTAATATTATATTCGTTTGTATTCAAAGACATAATATTTAAAAACAGAAACAGATTGTTATCCAATCTTTTAATAAGCCTTAACATTTGTATTCGTATATAACAGGTTGTATATTTGCATTATATGAAAGAAGTAGTATCACTAATGAAAACGTAAAATAAAATATTTGAAGGATGTGGACTTCTCATTGGACGAGGTTTAAAATCCTGCAACAAATTTCTGTTTTTAACCAATGAAAAGGTGTCTTTCTTAAAATATTTTTGTTTTAAGTTTTCGTGCATAGGACCCCTGATCAAGAAAATAAATGTAATTGATGTTAAACAATTTTCAAAATACCCATGAAAGTTAAAAAGATGTATGTCATCAAAGTTCGACAGATGAGTCTTCAATTATGTATAGGATCTAACTTGAAAACATCCGATATAGGCTACATGTAACTGTAGAGTCAAATCGAAAATTATTTTTCACACACCCGCCAATAAACACAAAAGTGTTAATTCCTTATTAATGTATTAAGACATTTATAATAACACGAATTAGATTCATAGAAACGGAGCTATATAGACTTATATTCAGTATTATGGCTTTTTGTTCAACGAATTCACTGGTTTACGTAGGCCTACTTGTAACATTTTTTCTAATTCATATTTGTAGAAGATCGGGCGAATTTGGAGAAAGTAGATTACGAGTTACTTCCCCTTATGACGAAAATATAGTTTTAGCAGGTAAGAAGTTCAGTAGTGAAATATGCGCATATAGTAAAGTGGTTAGACAGGCAGATCACAATTCTATAGAATACAATTACTGCTTATTACTGAGCGACGTTTCGACTAGGCTTCTCTAGTCATTATCAAGCTCAATAATTGTATTCCATAGAATTGTCACCTGTATATTCCAGTTCAATTACTAAATGCCATTGAAACAATCTCTGATGTTCTACTCCGACTGTGCTAATAAAGATGGACATGCGCATTCAGTGTACTATGGGGGACATTTTGCCAGGACAGCAGCACTACGGGCACGCCAATTTGTATACGGGACCTCGGTTTTTCGGACAATACCTTGTCCCTTGCCAAGTTCTTCGTTCTGCACCACTGCGCCAAGATTAGCGAGCCAACGTCCAACTCACTTACCTTCCGCAACTCCGTTAATCGGGTGACCCTACCCATTGACTTAATGATCAAACGACCCAATCTTTAGACAAAATATAAATATATTATTGGATTCGTAAATTTGTCGTTATAATTTTTTTTTCACTGGCCGTTATGACTAACAATTGACCAAATTTTTGTGTCTTTTTATTTTAGCTATAACCTATATTAACAAGCCAGCGTCACTTATATGAACTAAATTTGCTTGATGGAATCCTCTTTAAACCGATTGAATATAATCTGGGAGATTATCTATGATTTTGTTTGTCTTAATTAAATGTTAAATGATCAAATGGCGGAGATTTAAGCGTGGTTCCCCCCATGTCAGTGGTGCAGGACGGAGGGCATGACAAGGACAGCTGTGTAGTCGTTCGGATGGGACGAAAAACCGAGGCCCCATGTACACATTGGTGTGCACGTAAGAGATCACTTGTCAGTTGCAATTCGATATAAGAGTAGGCCATAGTGTCATTGCTCGGGCAAAATTTCCCTCATAGCACACTATGCCGTATGCCCGTCATCATTAGCCCAGTTCGGAGCAGAACAGTAGGACGTTAAACCCCATTTCATTTCATTTCAATGTAGTGACTGTAATATTGATAACGTTGTTATACTGTTTTCAGATTTTGAAGAGTGTAATACGACATTATATAGTGATTGTAGTAGTGAAGCTTGGTGTATTAATACAATGTCTAGTTTTATGTGTGTGTGTAAATCGGCCTATGATGATGTATCCGCGGAAGCTGAAAAGAGACCCGGTAGAGATTGTATAGGTAAATAACCCGTTTATTTCACAGAGAAGAAGAAGAAGAAGAGAGAGAGAGAGAGAGAGAGAGAGATAACGTCCAGTCGACACGAACAAGGTCATTTCGGGACTAACATGAGGTTCAATCTATTTCAACAATACGCTTACGCGTAGGGATCTTTGGCTGTATGAAGAAACCGGAAGACCCGGAGAAAACCCTCACGGTTGGACAGGCGACCCTACTCCTTGTCATGTTCAAGCGGGGAATCGAAGGCACATCAGTTGACTTAATGACAGACCTTATGATTTCACCCCCACCCCCCAACCCGGTTTATTTGAGGAGCTAACTAAATATTATATTTGGTTGGTCATTTCTCATTAACATTTGAAGACATATTTTTGTTTTTAAAGTCTTCACAACGATTAGACAATCGTTACTTCCACTGCGCGTGTGTTATATTTGAACATCCGGAGTTGAGACCATTGCACAGGGTTTACCATTCTATCATGTAGTCCAACCTTGCGAACTGATACCTCCATATGGTTTACGTATCATAGAGTAAGTATAATCCCTCTTAGAACACCCGATACCCCTTCCCACAACAACTTAGTTAAAATACATACAAATAAATTTCATTTTTATTTATTTCTTTTATGTAAAATCTTTTTTTTTTTTTCAGTTCCAACCACCACCGAGTCGCACAGTGACAGGTATATATTTATTTTCACACTATTTATGTTGTAACTAAAGAAAGTAACTCCAGAAAATATCGTCTGAAAATTATTATGATTATTATTATTACAGCATATTTATAGTGCGCACTTTCATATAACATGTTCAGAGGCACTTAACAAAGTGACAATGTAATCATAAATAAACAACAAGATTATGGAGAGAGAGAGAGAAATGGGGTTTAACGTCCACTCGACACAAACTAGGTCATTTCGGAACTAACATATGGTTTAATTTTATTTACATAATTCGCTTGCGCGTAGGGGTCTCTAGCAGTGGGAGGAAACCGGAGGAACCGGAGAAAACCCACGAGGTTGGACAGACAAGATTATGGACATGTTAACGTTTTATACAGAGTCAGTTAAAAGCCTGATTAAATAAGTTGCTTTTTTAACAACTGAGAAGAATTTTATGTGATACTGTTATTATCTGAATTTAATAATTTCATTCTTGAAATAATATTTATTATCTATTTAGGAGATAAATATTTCCTGTTTCGTATTTAGAGAGGGTGTATTGTCCATTTAACCATGCTTGAATCATTAGAACACGAGACGCGACAATAAATTTTTGAGCCGAGGAAGATCATTGAGCACAAAAATAAAACAAAGTCCACTCTTATATTTATATGCAATAATTCGCCTTGATAATTTAGAGGAAATTTCTAATTTGTACTTTAATATCGTCAGGAATTCAGCAGAGTAATCCATTATTTCACGCTATAATTTTTTTCATTGATTGAATTATTTTATTGACTATAAATACTGTCTATTGCTTTTTAATATTGATATTAATTCATTAAATCTAAATAATATTTTTTTTTGGTATTTTTTTTTAGTTGTTCAAGTGATAATTGTCAAACAAGATGGGAATGTAAGTACATATAAACAAACCTTCAACTTGTTGTACTTAATATACACCAGACCCCTTGTTCAGAACTCATTTTCAGATTTAAGTTAAGAATTTACTCAACTTTCAATCACTGTTTATGAGAAATATCTTTGATCCAGAAACACAAAACTTTGTACATAGTTTCTTATTGATGTATTTGATAAATGAAAACTACAAAAGTTTTATAAAGAGCTATATTTTAGTTAAAATAAGGCAAACAATTTTGAGTAAATTCTTGACTTAAATCTGAGAATGCTTTGTGAACTTTGGGCCAGTTCACAGGGTTTCACCTTGTTGTACTAAATACATGCCAGTCCAGGATGTCTCAACATTTTTGGAATTAATATAAATATATCAGCCCACGTGATTGTGCATTCTTTTAGTTTGTCCCTTTAATGAATCGAAGTTTGACCCAGTACTATCTGTCACCGTCCCACCCACCTTAAATGCAGGGTTGACAAATAAATTTAGTTAGTTTAACTCTATGTATGTGTCATAGATTGCTGATAAAATCCTAATATAAATTATTAACTGACTTGTCAAAACGCCGCCACCGCCTGAATGAAATGTTTTATAAAAAGATGAAAAGGAAGTGAACGAGACAATAACTAATTCTAGACGATTTTATACCACATGCTTGACTTGGTGAAACATACATTATTCAAGAGCTAAATCTGCCTATTGCAGGTCTTTCTTTAGGCCTGAAATGTTATCTAAATTATTAATTAGAAATTAATTAAAAAACATCACCTTAAACATATATCATGCAAGAGCTAAATTTGCAGGTCTTTCTTTAGACCTTAAATGTTATATATATTATTAATTAGACATTTGTTTAACATGACAAGGGGGATCACGTGACTAAGTGGGTAAGACGCTGGCTCGCTAGCCTGGAGGTCGGGTGTTTGATCCCTGCATTGGCCGAGAAAGTTCATCCAGATTTTCCGGCGTGGTTCCCCCTTGTCATTGATGCATGACAGAGGGCCTGACAAGGACAGCTGTCTAGTCCTTCGGATGATACGAAAAACCGAGGTCCCGTGTATACATTGGAATGCACGTAAAAGATCCCTTGGCAGTTGGAATTCGATATAAGAGTAGGCGATAGTGCCGCTGCCCGGGCAAAATTTCCCTCATAGCACACTGTATGGCGTATGCCCGTCTTCATTAGCCGAGCATAGGAGCAGAACAGTAGGACGTTAAACCCCATTTCATTTCATTTCATTTAACATGACAAAACCATAACCAACTCTCGATATCTCATCGGATACTCGAGATTTTAACTAGATTAGAAAGGTTTGGCTATTCAATGATTTAATATAAAAATGGAGGAGCAAGTCTTAGACTGGAATATACCAGTACCGTAGTTACGATAATAAACAATCATGCATACATCTTCTCAAAACTACAAAGAGTTCTTGGCTCAGAATAAAGTAATTTTTTAAACTATTATTGCAAGAACAGCCAGCTCTTTATCTTAATTTATAGTTAAAAGAATGCGCGTGATTAATAGTCCTAAACCAACTGTGTTATACGCCATACAATGTTCTAATGTTCGTCGAATGACAACGGTCACTGACTCTTTTAAGTGCACACAAAACCCCGGGATCGAATCCAGGCCTCGAGTTCACAAAACATTCTCAGACTTAAATTAAGAATTTACTCAAAATTGTTCGCATTATATTAACTAATATATAACCCTTTATAAAACTTGTGTTGTTTCAATGTATCAAATACATCAATAAGAAACTATGTGCAAAGTTTTGTGTTTCTGGAACCAAGATATTTCTCATAAAGCAGTGATTGAAAGTTGAGTAAATTCTCAACTTAAGTCTCTCTCTCTCTCTTTCTCTCTCTCTCTCTCTCTCTTTAAGGGAATAAGCAGTGATTGAAAGTTGAGTAAATTCTCAACTTAAGTCTCTCTCTCTCTCTCTCTCTCTCTCTCTCTCTCTCTCTCTCTCTTTAAGGGAATAAGCAGTGATTGAAAGTTGAGTAAATTCTCAACTTAAGTCTCTCTCTCTCTCTCTCTCTCTCTCTCTCTCTCTCTCTCTCTCTCTCTTTTTAAGGGAATAAGCAGTGATTGAAAGTTGAGTAAATTCTCAACTTAAGTCTCTCTCTCTCCCTCTCTTTCTCTCTCTCTCTCCCTTTATCTCTCTCTCTTTAAGGGAATAAGCAGTGATTGAAAGTTGAGTAAATTCTCTGAGAATGCTTAGTGAACTCCGGACCAGGCCTCCCTTGTTAGTAAGCCAGCGCGTTACACACGATGGCGCCTCATCAATTATATGTGTACTTACAAGGGATCTTTTACGTACACACCAACGTATAAACGTGCCATCGGTGTACACTACATCGCTAAAAATATATGGATGAACTTACTCCGCAAACACCGGGATAGAATTCCGAACCACCTGGTTAATGAGCAAGCGCCTTAACCACTGCGCCACTTTGTTCCCCACAAGAAATCTAGCAAGAACAGCCAGCACTTTGAGCCCTCACAAGCAATGTTGCTAAAAAAAGGCTGCACGTTATCTAAATGCTTAAGTGGTTACCATGGTTAAATATGTAGCAAGAACAGCTAGCACTTTGACTCCGACAAGAAATGTAGCCAGATCAGGTAGCACTTTAGCTAAATTTGTAGTTAGGATTGGTCAATTTATAGTTTCAATGGCCACTTTGACACCCCCTCCCCCCACAAAGAACAGCAGCACTTTGACCCCCCCCCATCCCCCGACGAGAAATCTGGCAAGGACAGGCAGCACCTTATCTAAATTTGTAGTGACTATGGTTAAATTTATAGTTACGATGGCCACGTGGCCCCTCCCACAAGAAATGTAGCGATATACATATAGATATGTTTTATATGGTATGATTTGTTTTATTTCAGATGTGGGTTTAGCTTTGTTGATATTCCTATTAATTATTATAGCATTTATAGCTTATGAAATAATGCACAGAAATCAGGAAGTATCAGCACGGTAAATATATTTATTCTTCATGTTTCAAAATATATTACAGGTGATCGAACCTTTCTTGGAGAGGGGGGGGGGGGCGTGGATGGCCGAATGGTCAGCACGTTTGCGTTGTATCATAAGGTCTGTCATTGAGTCAATTGGCGTGGTTTCGATTTCCAGATTGTACGTGACAAGGTGAAGGGTTGCCTTTCTACCTCCGGTTCCTCCCACTGCTAAAGACCCCTACACGCAAGGGAATTATTGAAATATAATTGAATCATGTGGTAGTCCTGAAATGACCTGGTTTGTGTCGAGTGGACGTTAAGTGCTCTCTCTCTCTCTCTCTCTCTCTCTCTCAATCTCTCAGACCACTGAACTGTATTTGTTTGCTTTTTTGTTTTCCAGTGATATTTATGCGCGATTTAACCGTACTACGAGGCAGAGTATGCAACTGTTAAAGAAGGGGGAAACTAATAAACCAGACAAAAAAAAGAATAAAAAGAAAATGGCAGCCACAGCTGAGAGTAGTGCTAGTCCCTCGACAGGTGGCGTTGTTAACCCAGCGTTAGATGCATCAGGTAAGATATTATAAATAAATACCTGGGGAATATATACCCGGGGATTTGTCAGGGTACCAGCTGAAACCCAATTTGCATATGTAGGCCAAATTAAAAACACTACAAATAAATGACTTGAGATTGTAAAACTATAGGCCTATGGAAATATGGTGGACCAAACAGCTCTTTATTCAGTGTTCTTAGTCCTTATTTCTTAGTCCTGTCGTTCGGGTGGGACGAAAAACCGAAGTCCCATATATACATTAGCGTGCATGTAAATGATCTCTCATAGCACACTGTATCGCGTATGCTCGTCTTCATTAGCCCAGTCGGAGCAGAACAGTAGGAAGTTAAACCCCATTTCATTTCATTTCATTTCTATAATGAATAACAGCATTTCTCCACTATGTTGAACAACATGTCTCCATTATGTATCTCTCTATTATGTATAGCAACATTTCTCTATTATGTATAACAACGTCGATCTATTATGCATAACAAAATCTCTCTATTAGATATAACATTTCTCTATTAGGCATAACAGCATCTCTCATACTAGGTATAGCATTTTTCTATTAGGCATAACAACATGTATGACAACATCAATCTATTATGTATAACAACGTCGTTCTATTAGGCATAACAGTGTCGTTGTATTAGATATAACATTTCTCTATTATGTATAACAACATCTATGCTTATGTATAACAACACATCTCAGTATTATGTATAACAACATCTCTTTATTATGTATATTATGTATAACAACATCCCTCTATTATGTATAACAATATATATGTATTATGTATAACAGCATGTATGTATTATGTATATTATGTATAACAATATCTCTCTGTGTTGTGTATAACAACATCCCTCTATTATGTATAACAACATCCCTCTATTATGTATAACAACATCCCTCTATTATGTATAACAACATCCCTCTATTATGTATAACAACATTCCTCTATTATGTATAACAACATCTCTCTGTATAATAGCCTTCGGTATAACATCCTATCTGTATATTGAATGACAACCTTTCTATACATTGAATTACAATCGTTCTATTATAATTACAGATGGTATCGTTATAAAAGATTCATCAGTATTTGATGTGGAAACAGCACCTGAAGCAATGGAGATTTCCTAGTTCCGGCATGTCTTCACTGTCAACCAACGATTTCACCTTGTCATCGACATACACATTGCTGCAGTCAGGCGAGGGCGATGCTTGGAGATCCAGAATTAAACGATCAATTCTAGATCTGCAAAATGATGAGCTGTCTTCTGGAACAGGAAGGACGCAAGGGCAGCAGCCATATAACTCTGTATGTGCCGAGCCACTGGTCATATTATACACTATTTACATTTTGTACATCAAAAAAATTGGTTAAAATACAGATTTATATTTCATTTCGTTTTTTTATACTTTCGATGCCCTTTACTACATGAAGATCCCGTCAGTTGTATTTGAGGTCGCGTCAGGGTTCATACGAGTGGCTTTTGACCTATGACGTCAGATATTGATTAATCAATCAGCGTTGACGTTTCTAGTGGTTTATCCACAGTTCCTTTCATCGAACGCCAAGAAGTCTCCGTAACAGATGGTTTCATTGGCTAATCCCTAACGCCATTCAGAACGCAGGTTATATAACAACTCTTCCAGATCCTAGTGTAGTACAGACAAATAAAACGAAATTTTGAACTATAAAAAGCGAAACGAAATAGGATCTGTGTTTTAATAGGTTTGTTCACTTACTAATTCCAATCTTAATCTGTATATGTGTAACTGTACGTTTGTCTGCTCAGAATTGACTGTTACATTCGGCCTGTCGCTATGCTGATGTTTCGAATATAGGGACAGCTTGAGCCAGTGATGCCATAGGCCTGGTGGCGGTGCACTAACACTCTCTGTTTCCCAGTTATGCTACTTCCGCTTCCGAGCTTTATACGCGTAACGCCGCTATCTATTGATATATGGTAGTAATATATTTAACTTACATGTAATTTTGTTCTAGAAAAAATTATTATATTAATTTCATTATAGATAAAATGTATGATATTAATTATGTTATAGATAAAATTATAATATAAATTTTATTATAGATAAAATTATTATGATAAAATTATGATATTAATTTTGTTGTGGATAAAATGTATGATATTAAATTGTTTAAAGCAGTAGGATGTTAATTTTGCTATAGCTAAAATGAATGGTATTAATTTCATTATAGCTAAATTAATTAATGTGTAATATAGCTAAATGAATGATATTAATTTTGTTGTAGCTAAATTAATGTGTAAGATTAAATTGTTTGTAGCTGTAGGATATTAATTTTGCTTTAGCTCAAATGAATGGTATTAATTTCAGCTAAATTAATTAATGTGTAATATTATTTTTATTATAGCTAAAATGAATGATATTAATTTGGTTATAGCTAAAATGAATAATATTAAGTTTGTTATAGCTAAAATGTATGGTATTAAGTTCGTTATATCTAAAATGAATGATATTAATTTCGTTAAATCTAAAATGAATGGTATTAATTTTTTTATAGCTAAAATGTATGATATTAATTTTATTATAGATAAAATGAATGATATTTATTTTGTTATAGCTAAATGTATGATATTACTTTTGTTATATCTAAAATGAATGGTATTAATTTTGTTATAGCTAAAATGTAAGATATTAATTTTATTATAGATAAAATGAATGATATTAATTTTGTTATAGCTAAAATGTATGGTATTAATTTTTGAATTTTAGTTAATGAGACATTTTACTAATGGCGCCTTAAGTAGTCTAAAACTTTATATATTTTGACCAATTAGAACTAATTTTCCAAAAAATCATATACCAAATATCCGTAAATGGAAATCGATAGTTGTAGTTAGAGCATCTTTTAAATGTATTGGTCAGTATGTAATTCAAAATAACTATTTACTTGATTTGAAAAAGGCGTGCTAAATCTAAACAAATGGATTGAATGGACTTTATTTCTGAGAGAGAGAGAGAGAGAGAGAGAGAGAGAGAGGTAAAATATTTCATAGAGTCAACAGTTAGGCTTCCCTTTTTATACGCCCAGGCCACAGACTACATTTGTCATCTGATTGTTTTGAAATTGATATATGTTGTTTGCATTAGTGAGATGAAGAAGCCTATTTAATTTCAATAACTTCCGTTAATTTCTTCTGGAGTTATGGCCCTTGTTTCACTTTGTTGAATCGTGTGAATGCTCTAATGACAACAGTTATCATCCGATTTGTCAATTACTTCTAGAGTTATGGCCGTTGTTTTACTTTGTGAATCTTGTCTGTTAAATGCCCTTAATTACCTACAAAAGAATAAATATGCGACAAGTCTTGCCAACCACTCGGACGATTTAGCTGCTGTGGGCGTATGTTTTGTTGCCTGGCAACCCATCTTTTATATTAACATAACAATGCTACTATGTAAGTCCAATGACCTTAAGCTATAGAACACCTTGAATTTTAAAAACAACTCTTCCAATACGAATCATTCCAATTATTTATTTTATGTACATAATATATTATTTATCATTAATATTAACTCAATGTTTATGTTGGTCGGATATTATGACACCTGAATGTAACTCTGGTTTCTATTTGAAGTCAAGTGATGTCTGTGTTTTCTATACGTGTCTGTGTATTATATATATTAAATAATGGATAATAAACCTATTTTACTAATATCTTCGTGATGTTCAGTTATGTCACGATCGTGTGTAGGTTTAAACTTAGAATTTATAAGGCGGTTATCGACTTATACAATCTAAGACAGTTATCAAAGGATATGAAATATGTTTCGGTCCCCCTTTTTTTTCTCCTGAATACAATGACTCAGTGTTCATGATTATACAATAATTTGTTTTATTTGAAACCGCGCCTAAAATCAAACCACTCTTTTAAAATCCAACAATATTTTATTTACAAAAAACTGAATCAGTGTGAACAACAAGCAAGTGTCTATATAAGTTCTCTCCAAAATATAAAATAGTTAAATCTCTTATTTACTGTAATGCGCCCAAAATCAAACTACACTAAAAGTCAGTTTATTAAGCAGTCCATTTAATATACTGAATAGGACATGTACATAAAGCGTATATAAATATCTCTCCAAAAAAGAAATTAGTTAAATTTTATATTTATTATAAATAATGGTGGGTATAAAGACACTTAAAGTTGCTCGATGACGCCTATAAAATATACACACATTAAAACATGTCACATTAAAACATAACACAGATATACAAGGAACAATAATTTCAGTATACACACATTAAAGCATATCACAGTTACATAAACAAGGAACAACAATTTCAATATAGATACATTAAAACATATCACAGATATACAAGGAACAACAATTTCAATATACACACATTAAAGCATATCACAGTTACATACACAAAGAACAACAATTTCAGTAAGGGTACATGAAAACATAAAAAAAAATTATGACTGATGATCAACAAACAACGATTTCAGTAAAGATACATTAAAACATACTACAGTTACATAAGCAACAAACAACAATTCCAATATAAACACATCAAAATATATCACAGTTCGATAAACAAGACATATCAACTCTAGAAATTATACTTAAAAACATATCACAGTCAGATAAAACAGGGAGCATTTACAGTACAAATGCATTAAAAACATATAGTTACAACAAACAACAATTCCAGAAACGATACATAAAACATATCACAGTCAGAAAAACAAGAAACAACAATTACAAAATAAATACCTAAAAACATATCACAGTCAGAAAAAACAAGAAACAACAATTACAAAATAAATCCATAAAACATATCATAGTCAGAAAAAAACAAGAAAAACAATAACAAAATAAATCCATAAATTACAAAATAAATCCATATTAAGTCAAAAAAAAACCAACAAGAAACAACAATTACAAAATAAAACATATCACAGTCAGAAAAAAAACAAGAAACAACAATTACAAAATAAATACACAAACCATATTAAGTCAGAAAAAAAACCCCAAAACAGCAATTACAAAATAAATACATAAACCAAATTACAGTCGGAAAAAACAACCATAGATAAACAACAAACAACTTATCCAGTATTGATTAAAATTGAAACACATAAAACAGAGGGGTAGAATGTTGAATATATTATGGGCCTAAATGTAGTAGCAATTATACCGGAAGTAAATATTTAAGTTCCTGCATATCGCTTTTACATGATCATAATTCCTAGAATCAAAATATCAGGATAGATAGATTTTGGGACAGGACGAGTTATCCAATTAACCCAATATTAACCCAATACTACCAAATACCAGTCAGTATCACCCAATACTTCCCAGTACTACCCAATACGTTCTTACCATTGTTACAAACTGACAGAATACTTAAATCGTGAACAATTGAATCTTCTGTAAGAACTGCAATTTTCTATTACGGGTGACACGTTTTCAGAAACCACGTTGACGGAGAAAGAGGGTTAATCGTGTTGTTGTCAAGGGGCGTGGCTATCAGTCATATGGTGAGTTTTAATCGGATTAATATAATGTTCAGATTTCGTTTGTTTTTCTGTTTCTTTTAGAATCCTGGACGTTAAAACCCCCTTTCTATACCTTATGTTCTCTCCGGGCCACCCGTACCACCCTTTTGTTTTACACGTGCTTGGAGAGACATAATAATGGTGGAGGTTGCGAGAGCGAATGGTTAGTGCGTGCGCGTTGCATCATAAGGTCTGTAATTGACCGATTGTACGTGACAAGGAGTAGGGTTGCTTGTCCAACCTCGTGGTTTTTTCCCCCACTGTTAAAGAGCCCTAGGCGCAAGCGAATTATTGAAATATAATTGAACCATACGTTAGTCTCGAAATGACCTAGTTTGTGTCGAGTGGACCTTAAACCGCATTGAGAGAGAGAGAGAGAGAGAGAGAGAGTTTAACGTTCATTCGACACAAACTAGGTCATTTCGGGACTAACACATGGTTCAATTTTATTTCAATAATTCGCTTCCGCGTAGGGATCTTTAGCAGTAGGAGGAAACCGGAGGACCCGGAGAAAACCTACGAGGTTAAACAGGCGATCCTACTCCTTGTCACGTAGAACCGGGGAATAAAAACCCCGCCAGTTGACTCAATGACAGACCGTATGATACAGCGCGCACGGGTTAACCATTCGGCCATCCAGAGGGTATGTCATTGAAGAGTTCACATGGTTTAAAATCGTAGTGACGCGCCTGTATTTAATACGACTTGCACGATTCTGGTGTCATTAGAAATTGTTAAACTCGTTAATATTCATAAGTTAAATTCTTTCTTTGACGTTTTTAATACCATTTGATTTAACAGGCTTTTTAAGTGCCAAAAAAACCCAACAAACAAACAAAAACAGCCTAGAATCATTGACCTGATTTTCATTAAAAGTTGTTTGTTTAAGAGAAATCGTGATTAGTTCTAATGTTTTTAAATGAAATGGGGTTTAACGTCCTACTGTCCTACACCAACCCGGCTAATGAAGACTGGCATACTTAACTTAGGCTGTCTGTCTACAGTTAGCTCTCCGCTTGGGAACAGACACTAAGCTAGTTGACCGACATTTTAATTCCTAAATCGACGATTTAAGTCGACAATACTAAGTGTTCTTCGAGAATTTTGTTGAGTATTTATTCTGCTTCCATTTAATGGAATTGAATAGGTATATTTAGTCTTTGTGTGTATGACAGATGTTAAATGGAGTCTAAACACCTTACATAACATTATACTAATTTTGGGATATGGCGGCCATTTGGGGCAGAGATCTATTCTCTAGGAATGAAGTAGATGGATCTCTGTGTGCAGAATGACGTCACAGATTTTTTTAGGAGGGACCCGTTGAAAAATCCCTAGGAACATTCTCAAACAGGGATGACTGAACAAGAACTTTACACGATGAGCCACCGTGGCTCCCTGATATTGTTATTTACCATGTTGTAACCTCGTGGGTTTCTTACGGGTCCGCAAATTTCCTCCCAATCCCTAAAAGTGTACTATGTTAGTCCCACAATGACCTCGTTTGTGTTGAGTGGACGCTAAATTCCACTTCTCTCTGGGTGCAGCAAGGTCATCCTGTATACATTCAAAAATAATATTATCACGTCAGTAATGACTAATTTCGAAATCGTTTGGAGTGTCGCGGTATGGTGAAATATTTTAATTTCTTGTTTTCATATCTATAACAGTTGACAACTGATTTATCATGTTGCTATTTTGGATCCAATAAAATATGAAAAATAAACGAAATGTAATTTCACATCTGACTATTAAGGGGCCCACGGACATGAAATGAAATGAAATGGGGTTTAACGTCCTGTTCTGCTCCGACTGGGCTAATGAAGACAGGCATACGCCATATACAGTGTGCTATGCGGACAATTTTGCACTAGGTCCTGCTCTTATATCGAATTCCAACTGCCAAAGGATCTTTTACGTGCATTGCAATGTTCACGCGGGACCTCTGCTTTTCGTCCCATCCGCACGACAGTATCTTGTACAATTCCAGGCCCTCTGCCCTGTACCACTGACAAAGGGGGGGGGGGGACAACGCCCTGAAAATCTCGATAAACTTGCTCAGCCAACCCAGGGATTGTACACGGGACCTCCAGTTTAGCGATGCCACGTCTTACTTACTGAGCCACCGTGGCCCTATGTATGACGCTGGTTCACCAGCGAAGGGGTGGCATGTGTGTAAAATGGCTTTATTTTACGTCCGCTTCCACCGAAGTGATATCGCATCTTGGATGCTGGTTTTTAGCCGAGAAAGTTCATCCGTAATTTCCACAAGAATGACAATGGGTGGAGATACCCATTTTAATGAACCGAGAAACGAGATTTTTTTACACGTTAGCATGCACCTAAAATGTCCCTTAAAGTAGGAATCACTTGCAAACTACATTATTCATGTGAACGGTGAATTAGATATTAGAATAGACCGTAGCGACACTGCCTGGGTTAAATTGCATACTGTATGACGGTTGCCCAGCTTTATTAGGCTTGTCGGGGCAGAACAGTAGGTCTTTAAAACTCGTTTCGTTTTATTAGCTCATTTCATTTCTAACTGTTGAAGAATTTTTTAAATAGTTTTCATTTTATGGCATTAAATAACATATTATTTATTGATGGCGTGTATTTATTATTTTAACTCTATAAATGTTTAGCATTTTAAACCTGGATTCATATAACCTTTTTAAACCGGAGTGAATAATAGGATATGCCACAGATCTCGTTAGTGGGAGTTACTAAAAAGTGCGTCTCGTCGACTTGATTACTTAGAAAATTTATCACATCCGTTTAGTTGCTTCAATAATAATAATAGGATCAAAAGGTCGCGTCTGCTCAGTCTGTAATTTTTAAAACGTCACGTTCAAAGGGATTGATGATTTAATGTGAGGTGCATTTTAGGGGAATATTCAATAGGCCTTACTCCTACATGTGATAAAGATCTACCCCCGTAAAGATCATATTTATAAATAAGAAAATAAAGTCCACATTAAATGAATGGAGAAAAGATTCTGCGCATTGTTACTAAAGGATAGAACAGTAACCCGCAACGGAGAATAAATAGGACTTGTTGATTTACGTCACACTAATCTCCGGGATGTAAACACTACGTCACAATTGTATGGCTATTTAAAGCCAGCGAGTAGCGTTGGGGAACTAGACGGCGAAACGGAACAGCCGAGGTCGAATTACGTTCAGAAATATTTTGGATAAATTTAAACTGTTAAAAATGTATCAGGAAATTACAAGCGTTTTATTGTTACTATTAGCTGTTGGTTTGTCACAGGCACAGTACAGATGGTATCGACCAGTAAGTACATATATATTATTATCGATTATAAAACAACCAATCAAAGAAATCAATAATCGATTCGATTTAATTATATAAGCTATTTAAAATGTTGTCTTCGTATGATTTATTTATGCGGGGAGTAGCAATGGGGTCCGGTGGGGTAGGGATATTATGGGACAGGGAATTCGAATTAACGATAATCAGTGATTCGTGTCGTGCACGAGGCAGTATCGCCTTATCTTTCAACAACACATGATATCACCTCTCAGTTGTCTGGTATTGGAGTCACTGGGGATCAGTGAGAAGGCCCTAGCACAGAAACCAGGTGGCCCCGCTTCGATCCCGGAGCAGGCGGAGAAAGATCCTGGGGTTTTCTTTGTCACGGACGGGGGGCCTGGTAAGAAGGTATGGAAAATCGTCTAGTCCTTTCGGATGGGACAAAAATACCGAGAATCACCTGTGTAATCTTTTCAGTAATATCCCGGTTACGATCGGCCCTGTTTCTATTTGGTTAATAGCCAGGCCGTATATCTTTAGTCACAGATTCAAATCATAGTTAAAAAAAACATCACTCACTAGGAGGTTTTTTTCATGCTCCATGTTTCTTCAAGTATTTTATCAATGTTAACACCATTTAAGTAAATATAAATATTGCCTAAATTAGAACTCAATCTTTAAAACATGACATAAATATGTTATCTTTATTGACATTAACACCTTTGATCTATAATCTAGTACAACGAAACGTCGAGAGAATTTTATCCTCACAATAAATAATGTAAAATTAAGAAAAACGTTTATTTGCGATGCTTTGACAAAAAGTTAAATCAGTATATGCCCATGTAACATGTGAACCTGCCAACCCTTATCCAGTGCGTAGTAATCAAATACATTTCAGATATTTTCGTATAATGATAAGAAATAGGATTTATTGTCCTACTTTTCTGCACCACCTGTGATAATAACAACGGACTAAATCTATTTGTTAAGGCCAGCTCAATTTTTGTCAAGGTTGCCGAGATGTAAATAAGGTTAGGGCACGTGGTTGTTGACGAGATTGTAGGTTAGGTTTAGGCTAAGCATTTGGGGCTAGGTCCAGGGTTAGGGTTAGGGGTGAGATTGGCGCTAGACCTGTTTACATCTCGTGACCTATGACGAAAAATTGAGCTGGCCGTGGTGATGGGCACAAAACTTACCCAACTGTCCGTACTCAACCGTCGCGAGCGTATAGGGATCGATCTTTTAACATATTTGCACCTAAAATAAGGAACAGGATACCATCTTCATTGAGAATAATTGATAATTTGAACTCTGTTAAACGTGCTCTTAAAACCATCTTTTTAGAAAATAGGGTGTTAGATGGCCGAATGGTTAGCGAGTGCACGTTGTATCACAAGGTCTGTCATTGAGTCAACTCGCGTGGTTTCGATTCCCCGGTTGTACGTGTCAAGGAGTAGGGTCGCCTGTCCAACCTCGTTTCTTTTCTCCGTCTTCTCCCGTTTCCACCCATTGCTAAAGACCCCTAAGCCCAAGGGAATTATTTAAATAAAATTGGACTACATGTTAGTCCCGAAATGACCTAGTTTGTGTCGAGTGGACGTTAAACCCCATTTTTCTCTTTATTTAATAGTTTCTCTGACAATTTACAATTTAAATAATTTTACAGGTAAATCTTAAAGTTAAATGTGTATGTGTACACTGTTAAAATTATTTTGGTTATTTTACCCTAAAATTACGGGCAGCAAAAGTTGCCCCTAAATCATAGGTAAAATTACACCATTAGTTATTTAACAATTTACTGTAGAAGGACATATCTGTTAATTTACATTTCTTGTAAAAATACATCACAATGTTAATTTACATTTCTTGTAAAAATACATCACACTGTTAATTTACACTTTTGTTAAAAATACTAATATTGGTAATTTTACATGCAAGATTCGAGCAATAGCCCCGGTGTAAATTATTTCGTATAATATCACTTCAATATATATTGAATATCGATAATCCTGTTTGGTAGACGAGAGCATGGTTCCAGGCTTTCAGATGTAAGCTCGCGGTACTATCTATTTGCAGGCATTATAACCCTGCTTTACAGACAGACAGACAACTAACACTGGCCAATCGGTTTAATTTACCGTCTTCAAGTGAACTTGAAAACGAGATAATACAACCTACGGCCAGAAAGTCAAAACATTTTTTTTTATGCATTTAAGAAAATACTTTACAGACTTACTGATTAACGTACGCTAAATATCAATACACTTTATAGATCTTATAAATAATGGAAACTAGATATACATGACATGCAATATACTAAATTTACAAGATGTGATTGTCCATATTATGGTTAATAAATTGAAATGAATACCATAAGAAGATAATTATTAGGAATGTTTCGTTTCTATGGAATACTAAAATACAATAAGAGATAGTAAATTTACCGAATATGTAAATTTACAAAATAACGTGAATAAACGTAAGTCTGTAAAATGACATGCTGGCTATGTTATTTTCCGTTCAATATTTTAAGGTAAAAACAAATTCTTTAACTGCTGTAATTTTACTTATATTTCTTACCTAAAAGTAAATTACATAATAATGTGAACAAACGTAAAATCTGTAAAGTAACACGCCTGCTGCGTTACTTTCAGTTCAATTTTATTACATTATATGTATTTTTACAGGATTTTGAATATGAAACTCGATAAACATACTTGAAATTCGGTAAAAATTACATTAGACTTGGTAAAAGTAGTATATGTTGTAAAATATACCGATAATTGAGGTACAAAAAACCCTCGTACTACTGTAATTTTACATACATTTCTGACAGTTTACCTGGTGGTTGTCGTAACATCATTTGCTATTTGGTTGTGGACTTCAACGGTCACTGTTAATTGGTTGTGTGTTGAGAAATGTTAACAAAAATATTTCAAGGTTTGCTTTCATTACTATTGAATAAAACATTTCTGTGATTTCAACATTTTACGACAACCAATTTGGGCTACGGTACATCTTCCTATAGTTTGAATACACTGAACATTACTGTATTTTGACGTTACGTATGTAAAAATAAATTATTTCACGGTAAAATCACCTGTATAATATGTTATATTTACGACTATTTGTACTATCACTCCTGTTTGGTGTAATAAAACATACATTTGTAAAATAACATACAACTACGTAAATATTTTACCACATTCTTACGGTAAATTAACATTTATTTCTAACAGTGTATAGAGCGGTTTTAGTTATTAGTTTCATTTACCATTTTAAATAATTTTAAAGTTCAGTCTATTATACAAAGGTTTTTGCTCTTTTTAAAGTACATTACGTATGTTTGTACACCGGTTTGAGATTTTGTTTTAATGTAGATAAGATTATTATAATTATTATGTCATTTGCTACGAAGAAAATTTTTCCCGGAAGGTGGCATTTCCGCTTATGTTTCATCGAATTCTCACTGTCACGTTGTTGGGTTTTTTTTGTCCAACCCGAATGACTAGACCCACTGACAAGGGGAAGCCACGAAGGAAACCTCCGAGGACCTTTTTTCGAGTTAACATCGGGATAGAAACCGGACCACCTGATCGGTAACACCAAGCCACCGTGACTGCCGAGGGATCTAACTCGGACCTTCTGATCGTTTATTCAGCGCCATTAACACCAAGCCACCGTGACTACCGATGGAAAGCCACGTAGTGAAATCCCTAGGAACTGTCGCTGCTAACATCGGGACCGAACTCGGCCCTCCTGATCGGTTAGCCAGTACCATTAACACCACGCAACCGTGACTACCAAGGGGAAGACACGCAGTAAAATCCCTAGCAACTGTCTCTGCCAACATCGGGATCGAACCCGGACCTCCTGATTGATAAGGCAGCGCCATTCACACCAGGCCACCGTAACTCCCAAAAAGTCAGAAGATATTACGTACTTTATACATCTAAAGACAAAACATCCGTGATAAACGTGACCAGTCGACGGTCAATCAACAAATTTTGTCCATGAAAATCATCACACGAACTTGTGAAAATCTAAAAGACGGTTGTATGTTATTTTCACACGCCTTCTTTATTTAAATAATATATTGACTGTAAATCTCCAAAACCATTGTATACAACTAAAGTAGCTTCCATCATCAGGTTAATCTCCGTGACCTTAAAACGTTTCAGGTATTTCTTGACAGGGATAGAAAATCTTTAATTAATTTGACCTTCATCTGAAGGATCAATTCTCTTTCTTTGATAGCTCACTTGTAGAACGAATTTTGTTAAAATAAAAAAAATAAATAAAAACCAACATTTTTCAATTTGGATATCTTCATTAAGAAGAGGGTTGGATGGCCGAATGGTTAGCGTTGTTTCTCTCCATTGAGATGTTTCATGACAAGGCGACAATTATTCTGGCCTTTATAAATGTGAACAAGTTAAACACAAACGCAGATAACATAGTCTAAGTTCACAGAAATGAAGGCTGGCGTATTGGGTTATCCCAATCTGTTTCACAGAGAATTACGAGTCTCGTATAATATCTCTGTCATAGATGACTGCCTTAACACGTGCTGTCACAGCACGCGGTGTGAATCATTGGCTGAATGGCGCGTGCATTGTTTACATAAGACATAACTGCTTCGGAGAAAATGCTGCATTTTAGTCAATTTAATACCCATTTACACTAAATCGGAAATACTTTTTACCTACAAATACGTCAAACGCCTTTATTTATTTTTCCAATATATACAAAAAAAGTTTTAGAATTTAATTTGTCGCAGGAAAAAAGTTAATATTTCTAGCTCATTAAGCCGCATCAATGTCATCCTTATCAGTGATTGTCGCGGCCAAGCAAATATTCACTGCGGATCAGTGTGGGGTTATCCTAGTACAAAAACATTATAATAAAAGATCATTTGATACAAAGGGGTATCATCATAACCATAATTAGGTACTGTGGCATTTAGAGATTGGTTTTTATAGAACTGTATATTGGTTTTATCCTAAAGGCACAACGTTTTTATAGAACTGTATATTGGTTTTATCCTAAAGGCAGAATGTTTTTATAGAACTGTATATTGGTTTTATCCTAAAGGCACAACGTTTTTATAGAACTGTATATTGGTTTTATCCTAAAGGCACAATGTTTTTATAGAACTGTATATTGGTTTTATCCTAAAGGCACAACGTTTCGACAAATATTCTCTTATTGTTATCAAGCACATGACATTTATTAAACGTCCTTTTCTACCGAGATGATATCGCAGACAATGGCATTTAGTATGTGAAATAGCTTTATTTAACATCCGCTTCCACATTTAGTAAACTTGGGGTATATACGAGAGAGAGAGAGAGAGGGAGAGAGAGAGAAAGAGGGGGAGAGAGAGATGGGGTTTAACGTCCACTCGACACAAACTAGCGCCGCGGAGCAGCTGTTAGCTGGAGCACTCAGCGCTATACAAAATGATTATTATTATTATTATTTCGGGACTAACACATGGTTCAATTTTATTTCAATAATTCGCTTGTGCGTAGGGGTCGTTAGGACCCGGCGAAAACCCACGAGGTTGGACAGACGACCCTACTCCTTGTCACGTACAACCGGGGAATCAAAACCCCGCCAGTTGACTCAATGACAGACCGTATGATACAGCGCGCATGTGATAACCATTCGGCCATCCAACCCCCTAATATATGCGATAGGCATGATGAAGCAAATGAAATGGGGTTTAATGTCCTACTGTTGCACGTTGAAGCGATTTTACAGAGATTAAATAATGATAACAATGAGAAGTAAAATATAAAACGATTAATAAAAACAAAACAAGATAACTGGTTAACTAAATAAATATATAATACTAGAACATTTATTATGGATACAATCACTTGGTTTATTATTTACTGCAACGTTTCAACAAGATTTCACCAGTCGTTCCCAAGCAACGTTGCAGTACAATAAACCACGTGATTGTATCCATAATAAGTGTTCTAGTATTATATCATAAATCAATTGATAAATGCCTCTCAAGGAATATAAATAAATATATTAGAATTGTGTGTAATCTACAACTCTTGGAAAGATCTTATGTTAAAGCCTAAAGCTACATATTCAAATGCATCGATCTAGATAATTACGCTGAAACTATTTCAATGCAACGATCTGAATAATTAAGCTAAAACTATTTCAATTGCACCGACCTGGATAATTAAGCTTAAACTATTCCAATGCACACGGTTTATGCACCAACTAGGATTATTAAGACGGGGATGTTTCATGCGGTGTGCTATGATATGGGAAATTTTCTATTTCGACTGCCTTAGCAAGGAGTAGGGTCGCCTGTCTCCAACCTCGTGGCTTTTCTCCGGGTCCTCCTGTTACCCTCCACTGCTAAAGATCCGTACGCGCAAGCGAATTATTGAAATAAAATTGAACCTTGTGTTAGTCTCTCTCTCTCTCTCTCTCTCTCTCTCAACTGCCTAGGTAATGCTACCTCAAAGCACATTATATGGCTTGGCTTATGCCCGTATTTATGCCCCGATCGACAGAGAAAAGTGGGGCGTGAAATCCCATTTCATTTATTCCTTCTACTTTAAAAGACTAGAAAAACATTTCCAAAATATTTCGTCACGACTCAATTCATTCAGGTTTCCTATTTAAATCATTTGTTTTGAGGTTGTCGTAGATGTAATGAGTCTTCGTAAGGTCATGTTTACAAAACTGTTGTTAAATCCCTATTGATAATGACTTCTAAACAAGCTAAGCTCTAGTAAATAAATACGGTACTATTTAGTACGGTCAGGTGGTGGTCCGCCATTTTAAACCAGTATGTGGATACGTTACACAAGTGATAATTACGCTTCCATTTTTTTCTAAATGTAGTCAAATTGTTCACGAAACGGCGTTGTGGGGCTTTCCCCCTTAATCCGACCTAACCCCTTCCTTTGAACTGCATGATGTGTCTTAAGTACACTATGAAAGAGAATGGTGGCTACAACATTCTTTTAAACTGGTCAAGAATTAAATAGTCTTAAAACAAAATCTTTTAATTTAAAATATTAGAGAACGTTGGGGGTTCTTATTTGCATAAATGACACTTTGCATAATAGCTCTTCCTCTTTTAAATACTTATAACTGTGACATGAATTGTGATAAGGGCTATTCCATTAATTATTTTCATCCCATCCCGCGCGGGAAGTTTTGGAATATTGATATTATGTACTTTGGCCGTTCGTCTCTTCCAGGTTTTCTTTCCACGATAGCATCCACTCGCTCGATGGCAGTTAGGGGGACAGAACCCGAAATGGCCGAAAAAATTTCGGGTTTACAGACAGCGGCGCCAGTCTTCTGTGAGAGGCGACGAAGCGGAGCTTACCGTGTATGCCCCCACCCCCCACCCTACCAAATAAATGGTTTTGTAACCGGTATCCCATTCTATGCCGACCGGAATTCCATCCATCTAATCACTTTACCCGACTGCCCGAAAAAAGTCAGATTGCCCCCCCCCCCCCGCCCCCCTGGCTCTTACGCCTACACTGTAAAAAAGATCCATTTTTGATGTGGCCGAATTCCGTAGTTTAACACCTTTTTTCTGTTAATCGAAGGATTTTTTGGTAAAATTGTGTTAAAAGCATGAATTATTTCTTCAAATTACGTGTTTTATATATTTCTGTGGAATATTCAGTATTTAACAGGAACTTTCCGTGAAATTTAGGGATAAAATGTTTTATTCCCTTCTATAATGGACTTAATCCTGTTATTTTACGGAATATACGGTGGAATGACAAAGAAGTTCCGTGAAATTTAGGGATAAAATGTTTTATTCCGTTCTGTAATGGACTTAATTCTGTTATTTTATGGGATAAGCGGTACAACGATAAGTAATCGTATACATATATAATCATTTATAATAATGATCATGTTATAGTATTCATTTCAATGGATTAACCATAATATGAAGAATCATATTTTGTAACGTTTGGTATATTAATTGAAATGTATATCTAATTTCCATTATTTATAAGATCTATAAAGTGTATTGTTATTCATCATACGGAAATCAGATTGTAAGTATTTTCATAAATATGTAAAAATATGTTTTAATGCCTCGTGTGGTAATGTTGTAATATCTGGTAATCAAGCAGGCTTAAATCCAGATAGTACAACCCGTTGGCCGGTGTAAGTCAGTTTGTCTCTATAGCAGAGTCTACCACTGAAAGCCTCCAACTACTGACAAGTGGCGGGTTGTGATACCTTGCTATCGATTCATATATTAGCGAAAAGAGGTAATGTTTAAAGATTATCTGCGATATCACTTCGGTGGAAGCGGACGTTAGATAAAGCTATTTGACGCACGGGTATAAAGTCAATGGTTAATTCAATGAAATTTTTATCATCTTCATGCTCAGGAAAGAAAATTTACCAGGATTTTTTTTTCTGAATTTGAAAATGGAATTTATGTTAATTGAAGGAATTTCTGTAAATTACAGGAAAAACAAATACGGATAAAAGTTTCCTGGTAATTTTTGTTTCCGGAATTTTTTACGTTTTTTCACGGAAATTTTTGTTACAGTGTATAGTATATCTCAGGACCCACTCAAGATATCGTTATGAAATTGTGTACATACATCGGCGTATTATAGTGTGCGTTTTAGTAATAAGAGATCGCTCATTTGAAAAAATGTTGTTTCCATAGAAACAGATATCATTTCCCTCAAATCCGACCCCCTCTTCCACCAGAAGATACGAATAGATCTGGGTTTTTTTTGGGTGGTTTTATAAGATTGTCTGAATTAAATCTTTTTGTGCCATTATGCTTTGTAAATTCTGAAAAAAAACTTCCAATGGATACAATTGATAATACATCAAAAATTAATTAATTATAGACCATTGTTTTTTTCTTAAAAATACATTATGCAAAAGCTAAATCGGCCCATTGCAGACCTTTCTTAAGGCCTGAGATGTTATATAAACTATTAATTAGGGTTTTATTAACATGACAAGAACATAATCAGCTCTCGATGCCATCGGATATCTCCGATATTAAGTAGATTAGAACGGTTCAGCCTTATTTTAATTCAATCTAAAAATGGTGAAGAGGGACTAAGCTTCGAACAACCAGTGCGGTGGTTACAATGGAGCAATTTGTAAGACATTTTCAATAAATTCATTTTGTATTATCTATTTTCGAACTATTATAGTAAGATTGGTCAACTTTTTATCTAAATTTACATATTGTATTTTTAATTATAGGCCAACTTTCGACCGTTTCATAATCAGTTTCCTCCCGTGTACCAACACAACATTCCTCAAAGAAACTTTGGTTTTGGTCAGACGAACGGTCGATTTATGGGATTCCAGGCACCACTGTTTGGTCATCACAATGAAAACGGCCAGGATGTTCCGGATTTCCACGCTTCTATCGGTCAACAAGAGCTGAACACTAACAGGCAAGATACCAAATTTAACATGCCACGCCCCACTAATTACCCCGGTGATGGAAAACCTGTTAATCAAGGCTTCCAAGCCGCTGCTAATCAGCAAAACCCAACCATACGTTTGTCAGATACGACAGAAAAGATGAAAGTTGCCACTATCCCAGCAGATGTGTGTTCGGTAAGTTATATTTTTCATAAACTAAGCGAACTAAGCTGAAACGTTGAATTTACAAAATGGTGACGATTAAAGAAACAGTTTGGTTTAGACCAAAGCTATGGGGTTTAACGTCTCGCTAACGCAAGATGTCAGCCATTTTGAGACTACGATATGGCCATTTTGAGAAGTTCAATATACTGCTTCTATTTTCATATTGAATGGATATTCAAAATGTCCATTTATTCTTTGTGTACGGGGGCGGGGGTTGGATGGCGTGGGCGCTGTATCATAAGGTCTGTCAATGAGTCAACTGACGTGGTTTCCCCGGTTGTACGTGACAAGTAGTATGGTCGCCTGTTCAGCCTCGTGGGTTTTCTCCGGGTCCTCCGGTTTTCTCCCACTGCTACAGACCCCTACGCGCCAGCGAATTATTGAAATAAAAATTTAACCACACGTTAGTCCCGAAATGACCTAGTTTGTGTCGAATTGACGGTAAACCACATTTGTCTCTCGCTCTCTCTTTGTGTGCATAAAATATGTAAAACGGGTTAGAACCACATAAACATGGCGGTCATTTCAGGTCAGAGATCTTTTTCTCAAATTAGATCGTGCTCTGTGTACAGAATGAGGGGTTCACTTCGTTTGAGTGTCATTAATGCGATAAAAAGAGACAAATGGGGTTTAACGCCCGCTCGTCACAAACTAGGTCATTTCGGGACTGACATATGGCACATTTTACTTGTTCACAGGGGAAAGAGCCACGGTGGCTCAGTGGGTGAGACGTTGGCTCGCTAACCTGGAGGTCCCGTGTTCAATCCCTGCGTTGGCTGAGAAATTTCTTGTTCCTCCTTTTCAGTGGTGCAGGACCGAGGGCCTGGCCAGAGACAACGTATAATCGTTCGGATGGGACGAAAAACCGAGGTCCCGTGTACACATTGACGTGCACGTAAAAGATCCCTGGGCAGTTGAAATTCGATATAAGAGTAGGCCGTAGCGTCGCTGTCCGGGCAAAATGTCGCTCATAGCACACTGCATGGCGTATGCCTGTCTTCATTAGCAGAACAGCAGGACGTTAAATCCCCATTTCATTTCTGTTTTTGTAGGAGTCTCTAGCTGGAGGCGGAAATTAGAGGACCCAGGTTCGACATGTGACCCTATCATGTACACGTGATTCAATGACAGATCTCGTCACCTTGTTATTTTTGCACAGACATATAAACATAAATATCTTACCCAAGCACCCATATTTTACTATTTAAACATTTAATTTTCAGTATGTGGTTTGTCCTAAAGGCACATTATGTTCATCTCATCCAAGTCAATGTACCAATCCGCCGTGTCCTAAATATGCTGCTTGTGAAAGTAAGTATAATATAACCAATTTATCAACCATAACTTAAGATCTATCTAATACCGCAAAATCTACATGTAACAAATTATTGTGGGTGTAGTGCACGTAGCATAGTATGCACGATAGTGGATCGACCGTCTACTTTACACGGTCCATGGAGAATTCACTCTACTCTTATTCATCGTTTTGTATTCTCCGACTTTAGTTTGATTCACCCCTTAGTATAGAGAGTATTATTAAATGGTAGGTTATATAACTATCGTAACCAGTGCCTGTCTTAGGATACTATCACTCGGCAATAATCGGCAGATTCCGGTATTCTACATCTAGCCTCGGCTGTTTGACGGTAAGTGATATGTACCTACACCTATACAATTGCGATGCGACACCACTTTACTTATTAGGAAAACTTGCCGCTTTTAGAAAGAATTTCTCAAAATTGCGTCGTTTAGAGGAAATCGGATTAACTTGAAAGAAAAACAGCTTTAGACTTTGAAAGCTTTGTATGATAAAGCATTCTTTGAAGGCGTCGCCAGGCGTCGTCACGGGCGACGCCGTTGGTAATCCGGGAACTTGAAAGTAGTTCCAATGGCGGCCTTCGTCATACGGCCGAGGCTAGATGTAGGGTATTGCTGAGGTTTGCCGAGTGAGGATACTATGGGTTCTTTACATCCGCACCAACTCCCAACAGTGACACTGTGTTACAATGCTAGTAAAATGGTCAGTGACAGGCCAGTTTGCAAAGGGAACAAAAATCAGTTAGAATGTCGGTCGAAATTATTTTTCAAACTTCCGAACTGTGTGACTGTGTGTATGGTGTATGGTGAATTTGTCCCAAAAATAACTTCGAGTTCTAGTGAATACAATTACCGTTTATTACTTGGCGACGACAAAAATAGGATTTTCTAACTTGTACCAAGAGAGAGAGAGAGAGAGAGAGAGAGAGGGAGAGAGAGAGAGAAATGGGGTTAACGTCCACTCGACATAAACTAGGTCATTTCGGGACTAACATATGGTTCAATTCTCTTTTATTCCAATAATTAGCTTGCGCGTAGGCGTCTTTGGCAACGGGGGGAAACCAGAGGGCCCCGCGAAAACCCACGAGGTTGGACAGGCGACCCTACTCCTTGTCACGCACAACAGGTGAATCGAAACCACGCCAGTTAACTCAATGACAGGCCTTGTGATACAACACGCGCTTGCCAACCATTCGGCCATCCAACCCCTCATATGTGTATCAAGCGTTGATGAAAACAAAGGATCCTATTTGAATCGTTGCCCAGTAGTAAAAACTAACTGTATTCTACTAAATTGTATCGTGTGTATTTGTGGGTGTGACGAGATACTGACCAGTATATTATTTCAATGTTGAACTCTTCGTTTCAGAAATAAAAGCTATCGAATCTTGTAGTGAACCTCTGGTTATTGGTGGATGTACTTATAACTATGAACATTTCTTCTTTAATTCTACTTCCGGTAAATGTGAGAAGTTTATCTATACCGGATGTGACGGTAACAACAACAGATTTGCTACGGAGAAACAATGTAAACAAGTCTGTGTTCCTAGTAAGTATACAGGGTTTGTTTTAACGTTCTGTACCAAGCAACGCCGACTCGCTAGCCTGGACGTCGCGGGTTCGCTTCCGATGTTGGCCGAATGGTTAGCACGTGCGCGCTGTGTCATAAGATCTGTCATTGAGTCAACTGGCGTTGTTCGATTTCCCGGTTGTACGTGACAAGGAGTAGGGTCGCCTGTCCACCCTCGTGGGTTTTCTTCGGGTCATCCGGTTTCCTCCTACTGCTAAAGACCCCTACGCGCATACGAATTATTGAAATAAAATTGAGCCATATGTTAGTCCCGAAATGACATAGTTTTTGTCAAGTGTACGTTAAAACCCATCTCTCTCTCTCTCTCTCTCTCTCTCTCTCTCTCTCTCTCTCTCTCTAAACTGTAAGGTGTTTACATGGTAACATGTAAGGTGTTTACACGGTGTTTACATGGTAACCGATAAGAACGTGATAATTAATAAATTGTATTATTTATTCTTACAGGTAAAAAGTTGTGTCATTTAGATAAAGAAACGGGTCCATGTCGTGCTGCTAAACCTAGATGGTATTTTGAACAAGCCAGTCAATCGTGTAAGGAGTTTATATTTGGAGGATGTAAAGGAAATGCCAATAATTTTAACACCAGCAATGAGTGTATGAAAGTGTGTGGTAACTAAGGACTACCGGACTAGTCTGTCTCTGTATTGTCTATATTATAAACTATTGAATAATTGCTCCGGAAATTGATCAGTGTGAATGGACAAAAGAAACATTTTATTTAAAGAAGACAGAATATTAAGATTCAACAATTAAAATTTCTCTGGGAAAGGATTACAATTGAACCAGATGCTTTACAGTGAATATGGGTTAAGGGTGATAGCCCTGGCCTCACTCCACTCTTACTAACGCAAGTCAAATTGATTTTAAACATTCACATCTAGAAAAGAAATATGGACAGTTAAATGTCCATCCGAATATGAGAAAATTTGGCTAGGACGGCCGTGATACATTTCTGTCAAATTTTCTGATAAAACTACCCCCCCCCCTCCATTCATTAATCGCACGCCTGGGTAGGGTGTAAAACGACCCAGTGTTTAATTAAGTATTTTTATCACTATAATTACCCCACTCAAATCCATAAATCAGTTGATATTTCATTTAACATTCCGACCTCATAGCGTCCATTTTGATATAAATACTGTAGTGCTATAGTTGATATCCCAATGGGCCTAGATACAACGCAACGACGATGGGGCTACGCAATATCCGGGAAACCATTTTTGACAAAGAAACTGGTTGCATACTCATGGAACTTGGCATGCTTGTTCTTTGAACAACTGCGCATGATCGATATGGCGTCACAGATCCAAGATGGCCGCGATGACGTCATGCCCGGGTCCTGGTTAATATAGCATGCTCCTATTTGTGAATAATTGTTAGTTTATCTTTTTGTTTATGTTCGTGTTAATTTGTAACAAGATGTTATATGTGTAAATGATGCCTGTAGTTTATTTTATTTATATATATACAAACCTAATAATGAAGTCATTGTAATATTTATGTCATAACTTTATTACCGTATCTAAGATGTCACAATAAATCTTGTTGAGTCAAACTGGCCTTATGACGTCACGGTAATAATGATGTCATTGTAATAATCATATTAACATGGAGAAGGCTAGATCTAAGACGGTCTAGCACAAATGGCGTAATATGTGGAGTGTGGGTTAGGGTAAGTATATCTCGAGACCTTGTCGAAATCTGCAGTCCTAACTCTAACCCTAGCCCACACATCACATATGACGTCCACATATACCCAAAAGACAAACCAGAAGACAAGACACACGAAAAGAAATGGGGTTTAGCGTCCTTCTGTTCTCCTCCGACTGCATAATGAAGACGGGCATACACCATACAGTGTGCTATGAGGGAAATTTTTCCCGGGCAGCGGCAATATGGCCTGGCCTACTTAGATCTTTTATGTGCACGCCAATGTGTACACGGGACCTCGGTTTTTCGTCCCATCCGAACGACTAGACAGCTGTCCGTCCGTCCTGCATCACTGACAAGGGGGAACCATGCCGGAAAATCTGGATGAACTTTCTCGGCCATTAGATAAAGAGCTGACACTTCTCACTATAAAAGTTAACCAGCGGCTGCTAGGCAGGATACGCCCACATTTTCGAGAGATGGATAGAGAACAAGCTAAAAAGAAAGTGATTTTTCCTACAATCAAGGGCCATAATTCAGGAAATTACAATTCGATATGCGCAAATATCGAAAGGAACCGAGATCTTTGTGTTATAAACTTACATTTCAAGTTTCAACAAAATCGGATAAAATTGTGACCTCTATAGGGTCCACAATCTTGATATACCATATTTTTACGCTATTTGAGAACGAACAGCGGCCATTTTGTCCTTCAATTTTGGTCCGATTTACACGAAATTCGAACTCAACCATCCTTAGGGTGTAACGGTGATATTGTAATACGTTTTTTTTTTAAATCGGATAAAAATTATGACCTCTATAGGGTCCACAAGCTAGAAACGCGATTTTTCGTACAATCAGGGGCCATAATTCAGGAAGTTACAGTCTGATATGCGCGAATATCGAAATGAATCGAGATCTTCGGGTTATAAACTTACATTTCAAGTTTCAACAAAATCGAATAAAAATTGTGACCTCTATAGGGTCAACAACCTTGATATACCATATTTTTACGCTAGTTGAGAACGAACGGCGGCCATTTTGTCTGTCAATTTTGGGCCGATTTTCACGAAATTCGAAATCAGCCGTCCTTAGGGTGTAATGGTGATATAGTAATAGTTTTTTTTAAATCGGATAAAAAGTATGACCTCTATAGTGTCCACAAGCTAAAAACGTGATTTTTCGTACAAACAGGGGCCATAATCCATGAAGTTTCGATCCGATACATGCCAATATCGAAAGCAGCCAGCCGAGATCTTTTGGAGATAAACCTATATTTCAAGTTTCGTCAAAATCGGATAAGAATTGTGACCTGAAGAGTGTTCACGACAATATACGTCCACACGAAAATGTGGGCGTATAAAAACTAGATACTGGAAAAGGAAAGCGGAACAAATTTGAAACACGGGTTTTATAGTATCTCACTTTAATCTTGCGTACTGTGGTCAATATCCTGGCACACCTATACCATGACGAAAATATAACCCCGATGTTTTCAAGGCATAACCGGATCTGATATAGAATGCGACGGCTTCCGGGCTTATAATTCAATGACAGTAGCAATGAAATCCGGAGGTGTCCCTTGGAGATTTATATACTGCAACACAGCCTTTTATTTAAAACAAGAAACACGCACGTTTAATGCTCGTACTAATGTCTTGTATCAAACGGAATAATACGCCATGCCGGAAAATTTACCCTAGTAGCAGTGGTAGGGCCTACTGTTAAATGCGATTCGATAACTTTAACGTCCTGTGCCATTGACAGCGAGAAAAAACACTGGAAAATCCTGGTGAACTGTCTTGACCAACACCCCGACCTACCCCCTGTGCTCCTGGTTAGAGAATGCGCGCCTCACCCTCTGTGCCACCATTGCTACCAAACCTTTCTTAAGCATTTTGAGTTTTTTACAAAATACACGAAAATACATCTCCTCTCACTTCTACATAATATATGACATTTGTATTGTTTCATTTCCTGATAAAGATTAGTGAAGCCAAGTAGAAATATTGCTCAGTAATTAGAAGTGGCAGCATATTATGTTCTAAACACAGCAGGCATATTCTGTCTCGTGTACCGCAACTGTGGCTACTTATAACCAATGAGGTTGGGGTATAGATTGTTCTGGATGGTGAGGTGAGGTGAGGTAAGATTAATCAGAACGGTGGATGGGGTATCGGGTAATCTGAATGATGGGTGGGGTATAGATTAATCAGAACGGTGGATGGGGTATCGATTAATCCGAATGGTAGATGCGGTATAGATTAATCAGAACGGTGGATGGGGTATCGATTAATCTGAATGGTAGATGCGGTATAGATTAATCAGAACGGTGGATGGGTATCGATTAATCTGAATGGTAGATGCGGTATAGATTAATCTGAATGATAGGTGAGAGTACATATTATATTTATATTCAGTATTGTTCTTCAAGCATACATGTCTCTTCACATTCCTTTTTAGTACGGAATTTATTCTGATTGCCCTTACATCCACCGTATATAAACTGTTCACATTGTTTAGTTGAAGTATTATAATACCACCGGATATGACGAGCTCGACAGGGTCCTTTAACTGGGTCTTCTAAACATTGTGAAGGTACTGAAAATAATATACAAAAAATGTATTTCTTGTAATCTTGTAATATTCGGGGGCCTACTGAATGCTGTGTGCCCGTGATTCAATTGGGAATCGCCCCTAGCACGTGCTGGAACTCGAAATCTTGCATGTCCTCGATTCACAGTTGTGAATAAAAAAACGTACAGAAACTTTACTCCTTGTCACGTACAGCCGTGCAATCGAAACCACGCCAGCTGACGCAGTGGTAGGCCTTATGATACAGCGCGCACGTGCTAACCATTCGGCCATCCAACCCCCCACAAATTAGATTAATACTTACTACATATTTCATGTTTTATTCCTGAACCAAATTCCTTTACATAATAAACCTGGCCATCTTTACACTGAAATACAAACACAGAACCCAGGGACTTAGTGACGTCATGGAGTTAAAGTCTTTAGCGCCCACCACCCCTTTCAAAGGGTAAAATACACGATGCCCAACCAGTGTTGAACATCAAGAATGGACCATGTGAGCTAAAAACAAATTGGCCTGCACGTTAAAGAACCCTTGACACATGGAATTCGTGGCGCCGCTGTCCGGGCAAAATTCCCTTCATAGCACATTGCATGGTGTATTCACGTCTATATTAGCCTAGATGGAGTAAACACGTAGGGCATTAAACCACATTTCAAGGCCGATACTGGAGATAATAATAATATACCATACCTTATGTTTCTGTTCTGTTGACAACGACATCAGTGAAATCTAAAATAAATAATTTAGTGATGTTATACAGGTAATACGGTGACAATTCGACATTGTTTGGACGAAAAACAGATCTCTATTTTAATTAGATTGGACATTCTCAAGCGAGAAATCAAAAAGATGTTTATAGAAATATTAAACATACATTATGCAAGAGTTAAATCTGCCTATTGCAGGTCTTTCTTTAGGCCTGAAATGTTTTCTTAAGTATTAATTATACATTAATTAACTGATCTAGACCTTAATCAACTCTCGATGGCATCAGATTTCTCCGATATTAAATAGATTAGAATGGTTCAGCGATACTTTGATTTAATGAAATATGGAGGACCGAGACTTAGCTTCGATCAACCAGTACGGTGGTTGAAATTATTACACACGTCTGCCAAACCTTCAAAGGCTAATATCTTCGCTTGCAATAGAGTAATTTGAATGAAATTTTCAAATTATTCATTTTACATCATCTACTTTCGAACTATTATAGCAAGAATGGCTAGTTCTTTATCTAAATCTTACATAATGTATCTTTAATGTATAAAAAGAAAAAGAAAACATTATAAATACCGTACCAATAATACTAATGAAAGGAGTACATGACTGCTAACCATGGTTTCAGCGAATACAATGTCTTCCCTTTCCTAATTCAGAATAAAGATTAAAACAATGTCTGTCAAAGAATAATCCGAGTAGGGTGTAATATAATCCTTAATACGACAGCAGGTAAAACGTCCAAAACACAGGTAATAATGGTGATTTGTAATCTATATGACTCACCTGTGCTATAGGTATTATAAGTCCAGTACACATATTTATCTCACCTATTTCCGTTCAACATACATGTATCTTATCTCGTGTTAAAGTCAGCATGTCACCAGATTTACCTTTGTTTACCTTTTAATAAGGACACGTGGTATAGAATTCCGGGTACAAGGGTTTGTTTATCCGAACCCTAACCCGGATCACGATGGCTAAGTGGTTAAGACGCTGACTAGCTAGCCTGGGGGTCACGTGTTCGATCCCTGCATTGGCCGAGAAAGTTTATCGGGATGTTCCGACGTGGTTTCCCCTTGTCAGTGATGCAGAATGGAGGGACTGACAAGGACAGCTATCTAGTCGTTCGGGTGTGACGGAAAACCGAGGTTCCGTGTATCCCCTGGCAGTTGGAATTTGATATAAGTGTAGGCCATAGTGCCACGGCCCGGCAATTTCCCTCATAGCACATCGTATGAAGGACAGGAGGACTTCTTTAAGTCAGCATGTCACCAGATTTACCTTTGTTTACCTTTTAATAATCACACGTGGTATGGAATTGGAATTTTGGTAGTCCCGACGTTCCGGGTACAAGGGTTTGTTTATCCGAACCCTAAGCCGAACCCCAACCCCAACCTGTTATCTCCCATTGACAGCAGTTAGCACCTATTTCATCCCGGTGACAGGAGCCGCTATCGCTGTGGCTACAGATGTTTTATTGCCTTAACTCTAACCAGAACCTCAACCCAAACAAGTTGGACCTATTAAATGGGGCGATAACGGCTATGGCTATAATAAATTATGTGGCTGAAACCGCTTGGGCAGTAATGTTAGTCTACTATACTATGGAATGGGGTAGATTTTCCGCTTGGTGTTTGCTACAGTGCTGAAAAACTCGGATTTGATTGATCCAAGCCAACTAGTTGGATTTGATTGATTCGAGCCAATGATTTGATGGAATTGATCGGTCTGCATCCAGGTGCTTGACAGGACTTGTCTCCCTTTAACAACAGCTTTCGATTGTGACACTACTTAAATGATTCTCATAGTTTAACAGATTCCGGTATGGGAATTTGTATGATAATCCTTTTCATATTCATGGGATTTTTCTGCTTATGGAACAAGTCAATGTGTAGCTCGAAGTTTTACGACTGACTTGGGTGGATTTGGCATAAGCAGCTGAACTTTTATTATAAATGAATGCCTTCTTTACCATAATGGACGACAAATATTACTTGGACAAATAAACGGAAATGGTGTTTAACGTGTAACTTTTCTGCACCAAACGTTAAAAATTATCTGAATATAAAAACTAACCGTCAAAAACAACATCATTTAGAGAGTTTAATGGCCAGATTAGATACATATTCAGATCTCGTACAATGTAGGTAACAGGAAATACTACTGACATTTTGAATTTATCCAATACATTACATACCTCTCTCCAACTGATGAAGCTTTTGTTGTCCCCCGCCTTAAACGTATTTCAAAGACGGGGGGGGGGTGGGTGGTAAAAATGGGTTCATCCCTCAGTTCAAATCGCAACGTTGGCCAGAGAGGCGACCCTACTCCTTGTCACGTGCAAGCGTGGAATCGAAACCACGCCACTTGCCTCAATGACAGACTTTCTGATTCAACGCGAACGCGTTAACCATTCGACCACCCAACACCCTTATTGTAGGTTACTCTTATATTGAATCCCGACTGCTTAGGGATCTTTTATGTGCACGCCAATGTATACACGGGACCTCTGTTTTCGTCTCATCCAAACGACTGGACAGCTGTCCTTGTCAGGCCCTGATTCCTGCACCACTGACAAGGTGGAACCACGTCGGAAATCCCGATGAACTTTTTCGGCCAATGCAGGGATCGAACACGTGACTTCCAGGCTAGCGAGCCAGCGTCTTACCCACTTAGCCACCTTGGCTCCTTGGTTGTATTAGATACGGTTTAATTCAAGTGTTTACAATTTCTTACCAAAGCCTTATAAATATTTCAATTACATTTGGGTCATTTCAAGTCTGTGAGGGAGTTGAAATCCCTTTCTAATTACAATATCACTTAAAATCCCTGATTATCATTTGAGTGAGTTAAAATCCCTTTCTAACTACAATATCACTTAAAATCCCTGATTGTCATTTGAGGGAGTTTTAATGACCCACGGAGACTTGACCTTATTGAACCTAAATGTAAAATGTCCGTCCTATTGTAGAGTATCTAAGTTCTTGTTAGTAGTTAGTAAATAATTAATTATTTATTTATTTTATTTTATCGGGGGGTTGGATGGCTGAATGGTTAGAACGTACCATAATGTCTGTCATTGAGTGAACTGGTGTGGTTTTGATTCCTCGTTTGTACGTGAGCCTGTTCAGCCTCGTGGGTTTTCTCCGGGTCCTCCGGTTTCCTCCCACTGCTAAAGACTCCTACGCGCAAGCGAATTATATTTGACATGTTTTGGTTATAAATCATCTTTTGTACGGAAAATTTTCACTAAGGTAGAAATTGTTTCATTATTATCATTATTATTATAGCATTTTTATTCTACGACCTTTCATATCAAGGGTTCAGTGGCAATGTTATTATAAAACAAAAACAAATTATGGACATGTAATACAGAGTCAGTTAAAGGGTTATTGAAATAAATGTGTTTTAAGTTGTTTTTTTAAAAAAAAAGAATACAGAGACGTACAGCATCTTAAACTAAATGTTAGATTATTCCATAAAACAGGGGCTTGAAAACGTATCTGATGTACGTAATGTTCGGCCAGGTGTATGAAGTTCTAAAAGGTCTGAGAGGTAAACAGGAGCTAAATTATTTAAATATTTAAAAGTAAGTAATACAATCTTAAAATCAATTCGATATTTAACGTGTTGTGGCTGAAAACAACTTCAGATATCGTTTGAATATGTGTTGGTCTGCATCCAGATGCTGGGTTGTTTTATTGTAGTTACTTCCCTTTACTAATGTCAATTGACCACATTAGGATCGGTACACGACTGCATGCGTCGTCAACTGTGGGGTGACCATTCTATTCAAGATAGAGATATGGGATAACTAAGGCGTTTTAGGGATAGCATAATATTGTTCAATTGTATTTTAACAATTCGCTTGCACGTAGGGTTTTTTAGCAATGGGGGCCCGGAATCTTTAATCTTGGCTAATTGATCTTAAAGGACAATATTGGTGCCAGTCATTATCACATATGTGATAGAACTGGTTAAACACGTTCCAAATATAATCTTAACAGAGATCATTGCTACGATAACTGCGTTATTAAGATTTCAAGAAAGGGAAGTGACGAACGCAAAAGGAAAACACGAGTTACCCTTCTATACGCATCTATCGTAGCAATGATTTATGTGTTGAAATTATATTTAGAACGTGTTTAACCAGTTCTATCACATATGTGATAATGACTGGCACCAATATTGTCCTTTACTGTTTAACATTTCTGTGCCATCCGAGGTTATACCGGTACCAAGGAAATTTTACCTTTTACCTGGGCAGAGGGGTTAGTTACTTGTACCCTTAATTCGATTTCACGCCAGAGGATCTATTATATGCCCGCCATCGTGTACACGGGACCTCTGGTTTTGGTCCTATCCGAACGACTAGACTCTGTTCCTTGCCAGGCCCTCCGTCCTACACCACTGATCAGGGGGCAACCACACTCCAAAATCCCGAGGGATTTCGTAAATGGACTGGCTCTAGCGTTATTCCTATTTAGGAGAGAGAGAGGGGGGGAGAGAGGGGGTTTAACGTCCACTCGACACAAACTAGATCATTTCGGGACTAACACATGGTTCAATTTAATTTCAATAATTCGCTTGCGCGTAGGGGTCTTTAGCAGTGGGAGGAAACCGGAGGACCAGGAGAAAACCCACGAGGTTTGACAGGCGACCCTACTCCTTGTCACGTACAGCCGTGGAATCGAAACCACGCCGGTTGACTCAATGACAGACCTTATATATGATACAGCGCGCACGTCCTAACCATTCGGCCATCCAACCCTCTATTCCTATTTAGGATGTCATACCAGTCAGCCCCCCCCCATCCCTTTTCTATCTGCATGCTTCTGTTTTTTGTACAGTATTTAGTGAATGTACTTATTGCTCTAGTCACCGTGCAAAGACAACATAGAACACACAGTTCCATATTTATACTGACAGTTTTTTTTACACGTGAAATATTTACCAAGCGATCAGTACGTGTTTATATTACGGCTACATTTACAAACTTTCAACACAGATTAAAAACACTCCACGAGTTTATACCTCATGGATGTGTTATGCACGTTGAAAGACGAGATAACGCGAGAAGACAAAATTACATTCACATACCGATGTCTGAAACGAAATATCCACAAGTTGTGATTTTTTTAGATTTAGTATTCGATGGTTTGTTTTTATTTTTTCGTTTTTTCTTGTTTTTTTTTCTGCCAATGCGGTTGGTCGAAGCATTTGTCGGTACAGCTGAAATCTTAATCTAAGATGGCGGAATTAGAAGATCAAAAAGTTTGAAGCAGGTGTGAGACTAATAAACCAGCTGCCAAGGTTTCTCGAATGTCAAGTCTGATAAGTGAAGCTTAACGCGCTAAACCTCACGAGACAAATCTCCAGCCGGCTCGTGTTGTAGCTATGACGTCATAGCACCCCTAGGTAGCTGATTATCCCCCTAATATAAAACTGCCAGAATCATTAATTGGTGCTTTAGAAATGACAAATAGCCTAATATTTCTATAAACGACACATGAAGACTGGGTTTATTGCAAATACGGTTTACGATTATAGTCATTTGAGAGTCGTTTCCCTTTAAACTAGCTTGAACATATAACTTGGACTGAATTTTTGCCAATACTTAAACAGAGAAAAAAAACTAAACCAAAACTTGTCTCCGAATTATTTGATTAGTTTAAGTACTGTTAGATTACCTTCCAGTGC